AAGTAGTTCTCAGACGGGCCATGGAGTTAACTTGCTAAGAAGTGAGTGACATTGTGACACCCCACTGGAAATGAACTTAACTAAACAGTTCAAAGGAACACTGGTGCAAATTAATGGGTCTAAGATAAAACTCTCAAAGCCCTGCGAGCTGTGGAGTTTAGACTCTTTTGACATTATCAGAGCTGCTCCCATACTTTGCGTCCCCGATGTCGGAGTGGATAATATCTGAATTCGACTTGGACCCCAATGACCCAAGAGGAAAAACCGTAAACAATTCGATGTTTTCGTACTGCAATCCTATCCTCTCTATCCCCAGTAGGTTGAGCCCTGCAGAATGTGACAACGTGTGGCAAGCTGCATTTGGAGAACCTACCTTGGGGGTCCAGGGACGGGAGTGCTTTGCTGGTGCCCTGTTTCTTTGCTGGAGGGGTGGTTGGTGTTCCAAATCTATCTGAAAGATCAATCGATCATAATTATCAGCGGTTACAGGATGACTTGGATTTCTCTTCCCAAGGAATTGTGACCTCGGCCACTAGGGTACCACCCCACTCTTTTGGACGCTCCAAGTTTCGGTATTCAGTTTCTTGCAGAAGTCCGCCCATGAGATCAATTCTGAGTCGGGCCAGGGAGGCTCAGGGTCTGAGGCAGCTAGATTTTTTTGCAAACCAAACAGGACGGTTTTCATATGTTTTCAGCCAGCGCCAAAGGGTAACTACAGCAACAAAAAAGTCATGTGAATGGAAAATAAATACCTGGAAAAACCGATTGCTGGATGGAAGAAGGGATTTTCCCAAAAAAAAACAGTACCCATAAAGTTGGATGTGTTACCCAAAAAAAATGCTACTTTATCTTTCATACCAATTATGGTCGGATGTTTGACTCACCAGTTCTTGAGTGATGCAACCCCAAAACAATTCATCTTGATATAGATGCTTAGCATAAGTCAATTGATCCGAATGACATCTTAAACTCCTTATTTGGGTTTGGGCTGACATCTGCATCATTCAAAACAATCAAATGCAAAGAACTATAGATGCGTTGAAATCACCGCAAAGAACATCGTGGTCTGATGGTGGGCCCAAACGTCAGACTCCGTGCGCCTCGAACCTGGCTATAATTTTTATATAGCCCCCACGTCCCCCAATAATTGTCCATTGGCGCGAGGTTTTTTCATCACCTGAAGGGTGTGTGTGTTTTTTCTTCCCACTTGAGTGAAGTAGGTAGATGATATACCCTCTGGTAATTTAACATAGCTATTGAAAATGCTGATTTATAGTGGATTTACCCATTGAAAATGGTGATTTTCCATAGTTTTTTGTAAAAGTTTACCAGAGGGTACATCTCCTAGCGTTGCACTCGTTCGTCCATTGGAGGATGGGGGATCCATCAGGGGTCTTGATATGGATCCCATGGAGTTTCCCATGATGAAATCCCAATCCCATGAATTCTCTCACAAAAATCCCTCAAAAATCCCTCAGTATTCCCCAGTTTCACATTATTCACATTACCTCAGATCACCATTTCACATGAAATCCCCATTAAATCACCATTAAATCACCATTTCACATCCCAGATCCCCCAGTTCCTTCCCCTTCCCCTTCCCCAGCCGTCGTTCGCCATAGCGTCCCTCGTGATGGTCGTCTTCGCCAGGGATGAAAACACTCGGGCGGGGCGTCGGACGACCTCAACGAGGTGTCCAACTGTCCATATGGTGAATGGTCAATGGTGGTTCACGGTGGTTAATGGTGGTCAATGGTATTTAATGGTATTTAATGGTGGTTAATGGTGGTTAGATAATGGTTAGATAGTGGTTAGATAGTGGTTAACAGTTGGTTAATGTCCAACTATATGGTTAATGGTGGTTACCCTCCGGTAAACATACAAAAAAAGATTGAACATGGCAATAGAAATAATTGATTTACCCGGTAAACATGGTGATTTTTTCATAGTTGTGTTGGTTTCCCAGAGGGTAGCTGATAGTGGTTGGGGTTAATTTATATATATATATATAATAGTGGTTAACAGCTGCTAACAGGGATGAACTAGTGGTTAATCGTTGTGATTCATGGGAATCAATGGTGATTAATGGACCCATCCTCTGGTATTCCGATATGCTGGCAAATCTCCGTTTAGTTTGATGATTTTCCGATGTTTACGCACGTAGTTAACCTGTGTCGCGTATGAGTGGAACAGATCCATTGACCAAAAGCAAGCAATGTCCTTTTCTGTGGGCCAGCAGCCTCTACCCTGCGGTAATCAAACACAGCAGTGGAAAAATAGGCATAAAATAGCCTATTTTCGGATGATGCTCCCACTAATCCATCCATTTATAGGGGATTTCCAAGCCGTGTTTGCTTCCGGAGGATCCTCGGCATGCGACATGGTCACCGTAATGATCATCCCAGGCGCTCTTGTCCGGCGCCAACAAGCGGCGCACGTGCTTCAGCAGTTCCTGGCCAGGCAATAGGAAATCCCTGAACTCATGGAAGTTGAAGTTTATCCCATGTGTAAGCTGGCAAGCTAGCCATTGAAGTTTATATCTTGCATATGTTTTGCATTTGCACTGATATCATTTCAATGGTTTCCTGTAGCCATGCTACAAGAGCACAGTCTCCATATGCCAAACGACTTTTCTCAACACCGCGGCAACTGCATCTGGCCGGTGGTTCCAGCCCCTTGGCAAGAACAAGACTTGGAGAGTCTGCCAAAGCAGGGCGGAACAACACCATGAACTGGGTCCGTAGACTCAGGTTCATAAGCAGCATCAAGAAGGACCAACGACCAACACCTCGCTCAAGGTTCATAGCATTCCATAGCACTGCTTTTTCCTGTCTCTGGATTGGCTATCTTGCGAAAGTACCCGGCCACTTCTGGAAGCGCGGTTTTCCAATCAGAAAAGTTTGACTCCAAAGTCTCTTCAACGACTTGGCAGATCTCACTCAGGCCTGGCCTTCCCTTTTTGGGCCGCATCTTCACGAGATGCAGCACTGAACCATCCAACATCAACTCAATTTGGCGAGTCACTGCGGTCATCTCTGAGTCTTGGCATACGGAAGCCCAAGATGTCATGGCATTCACCTGCTTCAGCCAGAAGCAGATCAAGCGACGAACGAACCATCTCCATGAAGGATGCAGAGCATCTTCGACAGATGTGGAGTCCAAGAGCGTCCTTTTCACCAGCAAGACTCGCTCCAGAGCTGCTGCCCCGGATAAAAGGCAATTAAAGGCCTTGAAATTCTTGCTGAGATTGACCTTCAATTTCTCGGCCCTGTCTCCCCATCTCAAACTGTGCGCTAACCTTTTGGGGGTAAAGGCCTGGCCGAATAAGGTGATGACGTGCACGCGTGCCCAAGGCACACAAGAGCGCACCCCCTGAGGAAGGTCAAAACCAATGAACTCCCGCTGGAAAGTGCCCTCTGCAGCATCTAACATCTTCTCCAAGGCATCAGCAAATCTGTCGAGCAAAGGCGAATCCCCAGGATGTGCATCCCACTGTGGCAAGATGCCCAAGGACTCCCAAGCTGGGATGGGTTTGGCATTCAGCTGCTGCGCAACCGCTTCAGCCAAGGCAATGCACAGCTCGGGGTTGGAGAAGCATGCTTTCATGCTCACCCTGCAACAGCCTCCAAGCACAGAGAGGAGATGTTGGGCAGATTCAGTATCTTTTCCATCTTCCTGTGGAAGCAATTTGAGGTTGACAATCAAAACTGACTTCCCCTGTAAGTCTCTCTCCCTCAAGATGGTCTGAAAGAAGGCCGACAAAGATGCCAATGTCATCTTTCCATCCAAGCGGTATGTACGCCGCTCGCCCAACGCCTCACTGGCATCGCTCTTGCCCAACTTTGGAGGATCAACCAGAACCGTTGCTCCTTCATCACTTGAGACATCCGGACCCAGACTACTCACCTGAGAACCGTAGAGCGGCCTTCTGCCAGCGGCTTCGGCGAGCAAGTTGTGTGCAAGCTTGGGGTTCCCTTTTGCACCCTCACCCTTTGCAATACGACTCTGGAGTACCTGAAAGAGATCCTGCTTTTTCTTGCCTTTCAGCTGCAAAACCTTCTGAAGTTGATCATGCTCCTTTGCCCAAGCCACGAGAATCTTGAGCATCTGAACATCTCCACGATAGGCAGCAATGGAAAAAGCAGAATTGCCCCGCTTGCGTTCTTGCCACAAGGGATCTGCAAGTCGCATCCATGGGTTCTCTGCAGTCAAAACCGAATGGTGCCTCAGCAGATAGTCCACGCAGTTGTGCAATCCTCTCTCGCAGCAAAAGTGAAGCAAAGTCTCTCCTCCTAATATTGACAGGGTAGCCAGGGTCTTGAAGAACTTCTGATTGTGTACGTCACCGGTCGTGAAGTAATCATATAAAAGTTGGGTGAAATCTGCATCAGAAAGTGCTGTTTTGATGATGTGGGGGTCGTCATCATGATCCAGCAAATCAAACTTCTCCTGCACTGCAGCTGACACAATCTCCAATCGACTTCCGAAGAAAGCGGTGACAATGACCGGGCTTTTCTCCTCGCTCTTGCGGAAGTTGCGGATGACAAAATGCCACAGACCCGCTGCCCCCTGGACTCCTTGAAGCTGCGAGAAGATGTTCCCAGAGACTCCCAACTCTTCCACTGATTTGAGGGAAGCTACTTCCTCAAAAGTGACATAACGTAGAGACATCCAACGGTAGGGCTTGTCGCCCGACTCAAACCCTGTGCTGTTATGAGTGACCATCCTGTAGCCTCTCTGGAGGGTCTTGTTGGTCAGCTCTACATCTGATGCGACGCCCATGGCTGCTGCATGTCCCAGAAGGGATTCCACCGCATTTGTGAGGCAGCTAGTGCGGCTTGCAATGGACTGCACATCCATCACATCTGGCACTGGATACGCCATGCGTCTGCAACTAGGTGTCTTCAAGCTGCCTAGGCGACACACTGAATCTGAAATGGCTACACAAACATGGCTTGTCATTTCAAAAAATCCCGGAAAACTCCCTAGACATTGGTCATTTAGCACTGCCTCTGCGAATTCACCTGACAGCTTCGGCCAATGTTCGTCAGATGATTCTCTCGATGGGTTTTCCGGTGATCCACAGCCAGGGACAGCGCGACAAAGGACCGCGTGGGTGCCTGGTTCTTCTCCTCCCGAGCGATGCGCTGCGCTCCCTCCACGAAGACGCCGGTGACCAGGTTCATCATCACCTTGGACGCGAGGGGGCCATGGTTGGATCAATGGTGCCATGGTTAGTTGAAAATCTATGGAAAATCTATGGTTATTGGTGATAAATGATGATTATAAATTATACTATATAATGATGGTTGAATATGGTTCGAAGATGGTTCATAATGGTGACTACTGATGATTCATGATTAACAGGTGATTTTTAAATGATGATGAATGGTGATACATGGTGATTAATTAATGGAACTATCCTCCGTTGTCATCAAACATGGCCTTGGAAAGCCACGAACTAAATCGGGGTTGCTCCCAACCCCTTAGGTACAAGGGGGGTAAATTGGATAAATATAAGGTAAAATGGCTAAACCCCCCACTTGTGGGTATAATTTCCCTAACGGCTGGAGTGACTCTGGAAATGGAGGTTTATAGCTGGGAAAATCATCGAACTAAAGATGGGATTGTCCGGCAAAACATGTTTCTTTACCAAAGGGTAAGCCCTATAAAAGGATAGTAAAGGATCTACTTGTAACACTATATAATTTACTGTAAGACCCTCCTTCTCTAATATGGTGAAGGGGGGTTGCTATGAACCAGGACCAAGCTTGGAACCATGCCACATGTTGCTTTGAAAAAATGGTTAGGTGTCATTAAAAAACATGATTGAGGTGAGGATACCGTTTTAAGTTTTTTTGGCCAGGGCTTCTCAGAGGATTTGCCCCACCACATTGATGGAAACCTCATTCGATGGAGGTCAAATTTAGTGGGTGAAATCATTAGCACGGTGAACACTGCGCAGGATAGGTCCACCACATCCCTATAAAAAGTGGGACTAAGTGGACCCTGATGACCCGTCAAATGGGGGCCAGAGGAAAAAACATAGACATATTGTATGATATTATGATATATTGTGTGTATAATATGCATGTGTATAGTTGCTGTCTTATGGAAAGGTGTGCACTATATGTACTTTGAAATTGCAGGTCATATACATGTAGCAGTCACTGTGGAAATATATATATATACATAATTATACATACACACCTAATGTCAACCCTGGATTAATAAACCCCTAGATGATCTTAATTGGGAGGGTACCATTTAAGTATTAGATTATGACTATTGGAGGAGCACCCCCCTAAATAATAAACCATGGTTTATTAATCCGGGGTTGACATTACAAGTACTGTACATATAGATTCATGCTTCAAGAAGGGAATTGGGTGGCGGATTTAGATCCCCGACAAGATACCCTCTGGTAATTTAACGTAGCTATTGAAAATGACCATTTATAGTGGATTTTCCCATCAAAAATGGTGATTTTCCATAGCTATGTTAGTTTACCAGAGGGTAATCATCTTGATGCCAATGCCCGTCCGAGTAGCCAAGGTGGCGAAAGCGATGAAGATGGCGAAAACGAACGTATTCCTCGGTCGCTCGCAGGTCGTCATCTCCAGCGCAGGCTGATGGTTTTCAACGGAACATGACGTTCAATCAATTGCGCGAAGACTCCCTTTCCCATCATATTCTATAATATTGAATCCTCCCAGAACATGTGGTTTTGTATTGGATCTATTTAATCTATTCCTGTTCAAATCCCTATACTTATTGACTGCGTTGGTCCTTGGTTTATCGAAAATCTACAGGAAGAATGGTTCACCCCAGCAATTTTTTGGGGGTTCCCTTTGTCCAAAGGGGATCAAGGAACCCCCAAATTTGGTGGATAATAATACATACCCTCCGGTGTCATCCAACACGGCTTGCTGGAAAATCCATGAATTTACCAAGATCATTAAGGCCATTAAGGCCATCCACGATCTATTTATAGATGGTTCTCCCCCTGCCAGGTCTGCATTTATGGATGGCATTTTCCATTGATTTCCATTGCCAGGTCCACCGCGTCACCGCGTTGCAACCTAGCTGCGTGTTGGTGCCTGGCACGAAGTCATCGAAGACGGAGAGAAAGTTGTGCCTGGATGTTCTGGGACTTTGGGCAAACAAAATGGTGGTTCAACATGGTGTAACATTATTATTGGGGTTATTATAGGATAATATATATATATATATGTTTGCTTGTGCATCTGCGGCGGCTGAGCAATTGGAGTCTGAGTTTGTCCCCCCCATCTCGGGACAATCAGTAGAAGGCCATCCGAAAGAATTGATGACACTCCAGGTACCCGTCAAGCTTTGGGCACCCCATGGTTTCACAATGGGGATGGTGTCATATCCAAACAGAACCAGGGCACGTCCATCGAAGCATATGGTCCCAGGACATTCCGCCTGATCGTTGCCTCCGAATTTCGACCACATGGCGCCTTCCCCATTAATAAGTTGCCTTATAATGTACCCATCCATAGGTATATGCGGCCTCAATCCCAAACATCCCCAAACCAACTTTGCTATACTTGTGATACATTGTGATACAGTAGATATCTAACCCCACACCAAGTTCGCCGCTTACGATACAGCACTTCGCCTAGCGCCACAGGTTGCCAAGGCACCAGTCGTTGCCGCCGGTGATGGCTTGGAAGAGGGAAAAGATGGATCCAGCAACAGAGCCTCGGAGGGCTAAAGGTGGATTTCATGGGGTTGATGATCATTCAATGGGATTTATATAATTTTATATAATGGGTGTAGTACCCCCTTGTTGTCTAACATTGATGGTTTAATTCACCTATTGAACATATAGTGATTGTTGAGGGTAAACCCACAAAAAGATGCCAAAAAGTGAATTTTCACCCATTTTTGGCAGGGATTTACTTTTCAATATGTTTCGGGATGACTGAGTCATGGGAAATCAAACTATATAAATTCTTAAACGGGCGATGGCTTCCATAGCTATGTAACAAAATACCCGAGAGTTATGGACAATTTTCAATATAGTTGTGAGAGTGAAAGCTATTGGCTCTTGACTCGTTTTGGAGAAACAGAAAAAAACATCTAACTTCCGATCATTTAACAAAGCTATTAAACATATTGACCCGTTTAGATCCAATAGATATTACTATTGGATCCAATTGGAGGACAGCTGCTCCACCGGCCAAGGCTCCCCAGGTTTGCTTCACTGTCGAGAAATCCTTTTGAGGATGTTTGTGGTGCAGGTCATAGGCCAGTTCTGTGAAATAGACCTCGGCCGGGCGCCGGAAAAGGGGGCCTTGGGATGCCTTAAGGGCGTAACATGGGGTGATGTGGTGTGGGAAGAAACAGTTGATATGCACCCGGTCCAAACCCCATACCCGCAGGTTCAACGCAAACCTTCGCCAGACATTCGGCCAAAAATTGTCACTGAGATCTAAACTTTTCACATCCTGAACCAAGCTTCTATGGAGGGCCAGTACACTTGGCAAACAGATTGTACAAAGCGCTTTATTTTGGACACGTGCCCAAAAGATTTCCGAGACTTGCGTTTATGCCCATTCTTCCAAATGCTTTTAAAGCATCGGTGAGTTCGCTTCCAGGGCGCTTCTCCAAGCAAACTGCCGCTGATGCGTGGGGCATCAAATCCCGAATAAACCATCTATTGGGAAGCACATCAGATTGGTTGCATATCACAGTTTGGAAATTCGCAATGACTTCAAGCATTTTGCCTGCAAAGGGCACTCCATGAATTGCCAAATGCATTGCTGGCATAAGAATACCGCCTCCCGTAAAGTTCCACCCCAACAGCTGCTGTATGCGCTGCCTTGTCTGACTTTCATTGACAGCAGTGACACTAGCCCCAGTCCAAGAACGACTAGTAGCAACATGAGTCGCATACCAGACCGCCAGGCTTCTTTTCATCGCTGCAAAGATATCGTTGTAGCAAAACACCACATCTGGACACCTTCCAATGGCGCTGATTATGCTGGGATTCAAATCGTACACTATGTCTGGTCGTACAAACAAAACATGCGTAAAACGTCGGTGGTTCTCAGCTTCAAACTGGAGCATGAGATCGAAAGCAACTGCAGGAGACCGATATGCATTGAAGAGTCCATGCGTCTCAGATGTTCTGGCGGCGAAAGAAGGAAACGGAGAGCCGGGTCCTTGACAAGCAACGCAGCCTCTTCCCAAGTACAATCAAGTGGAAACGCAGCACGCCAAGTCACATCTATGCCAGCGAGAATGTGTTGTAGCTGTTCCGTGGTGAAGATTGAAGCTTCTGTCTTGCTTTTGGTATTGGTGGACTTACGACTTAGAACTGCAAATAGCACAACTTCCATCTGTTGCTTCAATTTCAAGAAGAGCAGGCGCCAATATTCACGCATCAAACTGCTTGCAAAAGATCTAGGCTGCCCTCCCATCACCACAGCAAGGGAATTTCCCCTTCTGTGATTTTGCGCTGCTACGCCTATCGTATTCTTGGTGCCATTCGGATGGAAGCAAGTCTTGGTCGCGGCACTTGCATTCAGCGATCCTTGGCATGGCACGAGCAAAAGAACCTCACAAGTGACTTGGGGGGAACCGTCTTGCACCACATCAAAAAACAACGCTAAACAAAGAGACAACGCCAAAGATCTGGTCCCAAAAACAAATCTTGACCTCCTCCTCTTTGCACACAAACTTGGCTCGGCAATCTGCGTCGCACCAAGCAGAGGCTCGAATACCACTGGCAACCTTCTCTGCTTCAATCTTCGGTGGGATCCAGGGTGGGGTAAGTTGCCAGCTGCTCAAGTTCTGCTCCACGTTCAGCTGCCGGCCAGAAATAATTTTGTTGGGGAAGCTGCAACCCCACAATGACTGGCAATTTTGCTGCAAACACTAAAGAACCCAACTGCAAATACCAAAAGCACAGCAAAATTCCGTAGAGCCTGTGAAGCGTCCATTCCCCACATAAGAGCAGCCGGAAGCGACATGGGGGCAATATGCTCTGCACTTTGTTGAAGTAACTATATGCAATAACATCTCGGAAATTTCTGAAAGCATAGAAAGGCTCAATTGGCATGGCATCAACTGGTGGTGCGGGGCAGAAGCGTTAATGAAACATCCCGCTTATTAAGCTTGAAACAAATGATACGTAGCTTCACGGTTCTTGGGAAATCCGTCGTAGATTTGAAGTTCCCTTGGGAAACCCCAAGGCTGAAGATATGTCTTATAAATTCTAATCTGATCTGATACGATAAGTCTGTATTTGGGGATATCTGAGAAGGTTTTCAACATTAGGGGGATCGAGTTGGATTGGTTGTCTGATTGGTGGACTGTGTTCTTAATACAATGGCCATCACATAGTGCCTGATGCAAGGCTGCAACCATCCAAAACCGGGGCAAAATAGCCCGTTGCAAAGTCTAGGTGTTTCCCGATTCACGTGCCAGATGAACAATAAAAAAGCAAGTAGTTCCCATCTATTTGACAAAGCTATGGAAGCCATGGCCCATAGAAATAGATGATAAAAATGATGATCTACCCTCTGGTAATTTAACATAGCTATGGAAAATCACCAGTTTTAATGGGAAAACTCACTATAAATTGCCATTTTCAATAGCTACATATGTTAAATTACCAGAGGGTACCTATTGAAAATATGCAAAGCCGCCGCCTGGCACCCACTTCCCAGGCCACAAAGACATCCACCGTGCGACGGCCACACAGTACATGAGGATGACCAGTAGCACCACGGTCCACAAAAAACTCTTTAGGGACCTGGTGCTGTGGGAGATGTGGAGAAACCATGGATTTTCAATGGATTTTCCACGTCTATGTTAGTTTACCCTATAGGGATCTATAGGGTAACTATCACTATGGATCAACTGATCGCAGACACGACTGGAGTCAGTCCAGTGAAAATTTAAGGGATGATTTCCACATACCATGATTAGTGAGGTCGTAGCTTTGAATTATGCTTATCCCTCGGTATCAGATAGTCATAGGTGATAGGTCATAGATGTCCTTTCCCCACGTGGCTCATAACCAAGGTTGGAGATCAATGTCTTTACGCTGGGGTAAACGTACAACAAAAATGTGGGTTCCACCCGATGCGTTTTCCGAAAAAAACACGATTTACAAATGGTGGCTTTGCCACATCTATGTGAGCACATGGTAAACGTACATGTAGTACAATGTAGACGTTAAAAAAGCAGGGTACATGTTCAAATGACATCAAAATCTGAAGTCCAGAATATTTACACCACAAATGTTGGCCATCCATGAATTTTGGAGCCTAGATCCATCTGAGCCATCTCCACATCATCCAAGGTACGCCAGGATGAGATAAACCATGGATTTCAGTGCCGGGATCAATCGCACCATCCGCACCAAGCGGACGATACGACCCAGTCCTGGGAACCCCCGGAAAGGGGAATGATAGAATAAAACGTGCAAAGAAGTAGGTAAAGAAAATCATCAGTTATACTACATATATATATATATAATATTTATTTTTATATTTATATTTATATACAAATAATAATAATAATTACATATAATATATATATATGTATAATTATTTATTTATTTATTTATTTATATAATCCATGATGATCGACAGCACTACTCATTTATGTGGTGATTAGTACAGTATCTACTCCAGATCTTTCTGGATCAACATGCCAGGATTCCTGACCAGCAGCTGGTTGTGACTCTCATTTCTCTGACGATCTGTGGGCAAACTACCCTCTGGTGAACATACAAAAAACTATGGAAAATCGCCATTTCTAATAGAAAAATCCAGTATCAATGGCAATTTTCAATAGCTATGTAACAAATTACCAGAGGGCCACCATGAGAGGGCAGTTTTTCGGGCAGTGACAAACTGGAATGTCAATTTACATGAGAAGCCAATCGAAAATTCGTAGTGGGCCTTGTCTTTGGAAAAGATGGGAAAAACTGACGGTGTCTGTTTCCTCATCAGATATTGTGCTTTCCAGAACGATCCATGTGCAAAAAGTGCCTCTGAACGACATTTCCCATGATCCCCATTTATGGGCAGACTGGTAGGACCTTGACCACTTGGCAAAGCTACACTGACATGGAACATCTATAAGAACAAATAAAATCTGTTAAACGCATTGTTGGTTCCCGGCATCCAATCAATGTAGGGCATAGTTGACATCAAGACAGTTGACGTTTTTTCTCACAGTATTGAAGGTTATTGCACCTCGCAGTACTCAGTAAGGTTTGTGTTCACATAATATCGCATTAACCATACTTTAAACCCCAACAATGGATTGTTACATATTGTTACAACTGACTGGCGGATTCCTATTGTGGATTGGAAGATCCACCATTATCCACCATTCAGGCTGAGTTGTTGGGGATTCTTCATACTCTGGAAATATGGGGCATGGTTCATTGTTGTCATGGCAACAGAAAATTCCACAGTGGAGTAATTTTCCCAGCGATCAACATTCATTTATAGAGGATTTCCAAGGCAGCCACGTTTGATGACACCCAGCGTCTCAGGAGCCGCAAAAATCCAAAGCTATCGAAGATCTGTGGCGGGAGCGGAGCCAGGCCCGGCGGAGAAGGTTCCAGAAATGACATCTGGAACATTCTGGAACATTCTGGTGAAAATGTAACCCCCATATTATTCATTTTAGAATGCTGTTGCATATGTGTGGAAAAACAAGGGGGATAATTTGTGGATATTAAGTCCATTTAACGTTTTTTTCTAAAACATGTCTGCGTAGATTATTATCTTAGGATATTCATCATCTATTAAGGATTATCCTTATCTGTGGATATCCTGTGTTATTATCCTAATTATCATCCCTATCTTAGAATATCCATTTGGGAAAGGGATGTACCTCACTCAGCGAATTCCCTGCACGACGTGCCGACGTGCCTCTTGAACTTCGGAGTCGCTTAAGACCAGCTTGGTGGCCTCTCAAGCTAAACAGGAAAGTGAGCAGGAACACCAGGACAGCATTTATATAGATAATTACTATGGATAGATACAATATGATACAATACAGGTATGTATGTGTATATGCATATATGTTCATATTAATGTACAGATTCTTATAGCTATATCTTATATTCAATATAATCTAGATAGCACAGAATGAGGGTCGCCATTCTTGTGCAAGTTCTGGGATGTTTTGTAAGCAAGCCGCCTTACAGGGTGCCATCGCCATTCCCCAAGGGTGGATGGCCATCTATGGCCATGATCAAAAGGTCCAATGATCACCGACCAACAGCTTTGCAAACATATTTCTTCTCACCTCAACATGAGTCTAAAAAATGAGCAGTACAACTGGGATTGGTTTTGGTGCCCTTTTGCTGGCAACCGCAAGAAATTACCAAGATTATATACCTAGGCAAATGATCAAAAATAGCTACCCTCTTGTAATTTAACATAGCTATTGAGAATGGCCATTTATAGTGAGTTTTCCCATTAAAAATAGGGATTTTCCATAGTTAGGTTAGCTTACCAGAGGGTAGCAATCCCATCATATTCCGATGATTGTTGGTCGTTCCCCTGCCATGCCATCTCAGCAAGATTCACCTCGTCCGCCACGCTGAAGAACACCACGATGGAATCGAAGAGATTCCATTGCCAGCCCTCCCTGGGGGATCAACGTCTGGCTTGTGGTTTGTTCAAAAAAAACTGATGGTCATAACTGGTTGGTGGGATACCTACCCCTCTGAAAAATATGAGTTCGTCAGATTGGATCATCATCCCAACTATTGGGAAAAATAAACAATGTTCCAAACCACCAACCAGGTCATAAGTTTATCGGCATAAATGAGAAACTCGACAATAAATTGTTGATCATAGAAAGGTTTACTAAAACCTAGATTAGCTAAATCTAAGTTGCCATCTATATCTGGCAAGGCACCCTGGGATATCTTAGACTAGCCATGGGTTGGATTCGGATCCATCAAACTCAAGGCTTGAAGCACTCCATTTGGAAGGGGTACTCCCAAATCATACATTTTCAATAGGATTCTCAATTATACACCATCCATTTTATTACATTTTGGGGTACCTCCATTTATGAAAACCCCCATGTCCCTAGTACGTTGCTGTTGCTGTTGTCAGCCAGGCCAGTATGACAAACATTCCGCCAAGCGTCGTGCTGAAGAAGCGACGCTGAAAGGCGCCGATCCGAAGTAGCAGCTCCACGACAAAAATGGAGCAAAAGATCAGGTCCTTGAGCGAATGGAACCACGACGGAATGACTTTATGATGACGACTGCTTTGCCAAGGCCTATATCTTGGGGTTGAAGATCTGAAGAATTCTAGGTGCCTATGAAAAATAGGATTAAGCCACCCAGAAAAAATATAGTATACTAAGATATACTAAGTATACCTTGTTTTGGGGATGGTAATGGATGGCATCTTATTCATGAAACAGCACCTGGATTCGACGCTGGATGAAATTCCTGTCGCAATTTTCCGAGGCACAATCGCCCGTGACCAGGGTGGATCGCCTCGCTGCAGCAATCAGAGTGGGATCGTTTCCACCATATTCTCACCTGATACCGGTATTTTCACCCTACCACTTGCAGTAGGCATCGACTCAGGAAGCTAAATTGGAGGTATCCAGCTGAAGTTTTGTGGAAGGCCTTTAGGGGATCTCAGACCGCCTAACTGGCAGCTGGATTAGCCACCGCGCCTACTCCCGGCACCAACACACCCAGATCTGAGGTATGGACTCGCTTCATTGGACACCAGATCCTGACTAGGACATCCGACTGGACCATCGGATGGACCCTGAGCCCCTTGGGCCCCCGGTGCTGAAAGCAGTCAAGCGTCAACTTGGATGCCAATGATCACTGCATTCAGTGCCAAGAGGGATCCCATCACCTCAATTTCAAACACAAAGCCGCTCGCATATCTTGACGTCACCCACATGTTTACCATGCTGTTTTACCCCAAAAGATGTACAGTTTGTTGCCCTTTTTGAATAGTCTTTGCAGCCCATCCAAACTCTTCTTTTGACGTTTCTTGTCGGGGGCCAGGAAAAAGGGTAACTGCCGGTCCTGCCGGTTGGGTAACCCCCGACAAGGTTGGGCCATACTCGCAACTTAATGAAGACTATCAATGTCTATTACTCCATATGGGTTGGTCAAGATGGGGTATACCCGCATCAAATAGCAGGTTAAATAGGATGATTAACCAGCCAATGGAATGGACTTTTCAAACAAGGCCATACTACCATGGTGTCCAAGCACTTTCTGCGAAGGTCAGAACATATTCCATCTGGGACACATTGAATTACCAACTGTATCATCAAAGTAATATTGGAGTCTTCAGGGTCTTAACAGAAATCTTGACTTTGAGTGAAGGTGCACTTCATTTTTCTAATTCAGGCTGCACGCCCAAGCTGCTGAACTCAACCAAGCCACATAGTCGAAAGAGTCCTTTCTCACCATCCTCTCGCTGACAACAGCCGTTTCGCTGGCTGAAGGGGGTGATACCATCAATTTCTCATCCCTGTGACACCGGAATAAAAAACCACCGCAATTTCAACCCTCAAGGGTTGAATACAGCCTTTTCAATATACGGTACCGGAAAAAACCATCGAGTTTTTACCCTTCATCCGTCAAGATCTGGGAGATTTTCCCATCTGTTCAGCTTGACTTTTGTTGTGCTCTGGAAAGTCCCCATCTTTGCCATCTTTAGCAAATCGCTCATCAAATTGCATGGGATTTAATATGGGCTAATTGTTCAATGACTCAATGACTATCCCCATATTTTTGTTGCTTCAATCCTCCAAAAAGGATCACCATCTCTGTCCCAGTCCTTTCGAGCCATCCTGCATCTTCATCCACCTGGACGGAGGACCATGCGAAACTTCAGATTTCTGGTCCCAAAAGATGTGTTCCCGCCCATTCCTTCGGTGCCTGAAGGGCTCGATCGAAAAGGTCCTTGGCCACCAGGACAGGGGTCAGCTCAATAGATGGATTTAGGAAAATGACAGGAATATCAGGAATCTTATGGTAAAAATTGGCATCATATATATATATAATCATCTAATATATATATATATATAATCATCTAATATATATATATATAATCATATAATATATATATATATGTGTGTAAGGTATTGTAAGGTCCTCTGATTCTTCTTGCGATGCCGAAAAAAACGAAAGATCCTTCCCATGTTTGGGCTTCAAAGTTGATTTTCAGTGGCTCGGGAACGTTAGAAGAACTAGCACAAAGATTAGGCAGGAAGTATGGCAAACGAAAGCTTCACTTCTGCCATTACGAGTATATTAATGTATATTATCTGTAGGTTGGGGGTTCATGCCAGCAGCTTCCCGTCACATCAAACAATCCCTGGTCTCTCAAGCCTTTTTTTCTCCATGGTGGTCATGGAGCGGTTGAAGTTCAGCCCCAAGCAGCCACAAGAAATTCGGGTTCCAAATGGTACCCAAATAGAAACGGCATCTGCGCGAGGGAACTGGCAGTTGAGATTCCCTACACCCCACCCAACCACCCCCCCAAAAAAAAAACTTTAGGATTGTTCATCGAGCTATACAGTTTTCTCGAAATCTCTGGTGCGCTGTATGGACTGACATGTGCTGACATTTCTTGAGGCTACTTGGGGCATTGGAGCCAACTGTACAATGCTCCTCAGTTCCTGAGACTTGCGGCGCCTCACGAGAGTTCCTTAGTTGGAAGTGGTTGCGTGCCCTGCCCCACCCTATGGCATCAGAGAAACCATCAGAAATTGCTGGATAGTACCTGCACTTACTTGGATTTGCTTAAGGGGCTTCCAAAAAAAACACATTCCGTATAATTACCGTATATATATATATATATATAGATTCCCCAAATGGATCCAAATGGTGGGTTTCCCATTAGGAAAAAAAAACAGCACCTTGTGCAAATCCAGGCTTATGAAACGATGGCACCAAGTTTCTCAGTGTGCGGCAGCGTATGGCGCGACCGTGGCATTTGCAGCACTGGGCAGTTGCAAATCGCAAACCACTGGCAAATTGCGCACTCTCTGGCCTCAATTTTTGGTCGAGGGCCACACGTTGCCTCACCCCCGAGGAAGCTCATTACTTGGGTCAATTTAAGACTTTAAGTTTTAAACTTGCAGAACCCCAAAAGTTGCAAATTGTAGTTACCATCGAGTTTGCCACATTAGTATACATTAGTAACAATATGAGCGAGACTTCTGTGGGAGTGATCATGATATGGCATCAGGCATCATCAGGCTATCATGGATCTTCTCAATGTAGTGTCCGCTGGAAAGCATGTGCAAGTCGATGTTGATACCTGAAGCTTCTAGCGTCAAAAATCCATTATCATTTCGCTAGCTGCTAGCCATAGCGGTTCAAAATGATTCATCGACAATGGGTGATCAATTCATGTCACTTCAATACATCTTCAATACTAAACTTGATCCATTTTCAGATTTTTCAGGACCACTGCTACCCACCACCCACCAGTTCCATCCAGTTCCATGCGGTTCTAGTCCCAAGCGACCCACCAACTTCCCGAAGCTTTTCATCATCGACGCGTTGATGGACATCCCCGATGTGCCAGGGATGTATCTTTTGGTGGCCCGCGCCTGCCCGTAGAGGCCTGGGCTTTGAGTCGGTTTCTGCGGAATCGTCAGGAACCAAAAGCAAAACAAGGGAACAACAAACCTGGCCATGTTGCTTGCAGCTAGGGAAAGAACGTACCCTCTGGTTATGTCAAAATAGCTATTGAAAATCACCATTTATAGTGGATTTTCCCATTAAAAATGGTGATTTTCCATAATTATGTTAGTTTGCCAGAGGGTAGCTTGCACCAGCTCAAACTGACTCAAGGATATCTCAAGGATATTGATTTCAGAAGCCAACTCAGCCAAGTTCTGAAAAACGAGAACTTGCTGGGCGATTATCCCACAAGCAGGAACTGAGAAGTAACCACAGGGGGGACCTGGCAGCTGAAAGCTTCTGCACACATGGCACGGTATGATTCCTCATAATTGTGGTCCATGAACCCATGAATGCTTAAAGTACCCTCTGGTAATTTAACGTAGCTATTGAAAATGGCCATTAATAGTGGATTTACCCATAAAATATGGTGATTTTCCATAGTTATGTTAGTTTACCACAGTGTATTTCTCTTTTAAATTCTCTGAATCATTTGCCGGTGAAATCTAGTTTTGCTGGTGAATCACCCATAGCATGTTGCTTACGCCTCCGAATTCTGCGTGGTTACAAAGAAATCAACGCCATTTTCTGCCTGTGAAGGTTGGTTTATAAACCCTGACTATATGGATATATCTACCCTATCTAGTGAAATCTTGGTCATATAGTGTTTGTTGATGTATCAACCCCATCCACTATAGATGTAATAACATTGTAATAACCATACAGACAAGAATTTTCCAGTTTGATTCAACCAACTACAGGATCTCCATTCTGGGAAATCACCTTGGGCAGCACCAGCTTACCCCATCACTCTGCCATACTCTGCCAGGTAGCCATGGACATGACCACAAACATGCAGCATGGGGTCCAGGGCTGCTAAACCTTTGGCTAGCTCTTCATGGGTCCTGGCGGCACGATTAAAATTGGATGAGGTTGAGTTAGTTGAGTCTCAGGGTTAAGACGATTTAAACACAAAAGAATGCACAATATTACACTATATATATATATATATACATATGTATCTCCCTTAATGTGGGGCTCATGTAAAGCCCAACACATTTGATTTGGGTTGGGGTTGTGTGTTGAAATGTGTTGAACATAAGTTCAGAAGAAACAAAGAGGGAGCAATTTATGGTGTCTCTCTTTCCATCCCGTTGTGTAACCAGTACTATTTGTGTTCACCAGCACCACGCATACCCTCCGGTAAACTAACATAGCTATGGAAAATCACCATTTTTAATGGGAAAACTCACTATAAATGGTGATTTTCAATAGCTATGTTAGTTTACCAGAGGGTACATGGTCATGAAACAAAAATCAAGTGAATCTGGTCAACTTTTGAAACCCCCCGCGGTCCACATGGAGGATGACAGGGGCCCATGGGTCAACACAATCTCCACGTGTTCCACGTCTTTCTGTAGGCGTTTCAAGGCTTCAGGCTGTTGGAACGCACGGTTGAAGCTCTTCCCGGCCGAAAGGGGGGCACCATAGACCTTCAACTGGCGAATCTCGGGGCTGCCTGGTGCACCTCAGACGAAAACCGGAGCGGAAACCTAAGAGGTGAAGGGCAGGTCCAGGCTCGTTTAGTACTCTAATCCTCTGTGTTTTTTCCTCTATGGATGGGGAGAACTACGGATAAACCAGCATGAAAATGGCAGGCTGTCTGAAGATCGCATGGTAGACTCTTAGGCTTTTCCCATGGAGGTGGTGATTAAGATGTTTGGAAAGCAGTAAGGGGATCTGACAGAAAGATTCAGCAAATGGGGGGTGCCCTCAAGGGGTGGCTTGAATGGTCGATTATTTTGAGCTTTGCCTGAGCTACACAATCATTTATCCATGATGTTCTGTCCTACATTTACGCCCAAAAGTCACCAATTATGATCTATTGCGATGTACAATATACATGTACATATAATCTACAATCATACTATGTACCTATGTATATAAATCTGTCATGAATATACATAACGCATATGGCAATGTGCTCATACAGTATGTCAAATCTGGGGAAGTTGCTAGAGCACTACCTCCACTTGAAATGTACGCCCTTTCCTCTTGTCATGGTTCCCCCTTCTAATCACAATTCATGGTGAGGTCATCATAATCTTCCCAGGTAGGTCCCTTAACTAGTCACTAGTCTCATCTTACACAAGTTGTGGATGATCCTCCATTAGATGCCCCGACTTGCAGATCCAAGTCACCGACGTCAGCTTCAAAACTTCCAGTGCTGAACTCTAAGTACTCCACGCCTTCACCCAGGAGTTCTTTTGCCTTCTCAGGCCCAAACTCCTTCCAGTTCACCACGGCACGAGCAAGACGTTTCTCAGTTTCGGCCCCAAGGATTGAACCCACTTTGGGGGACATGCTCCAAACGCACCAATTGAAGTTAGTTGAAGTCCTCCAGCCTAAGAATTTCTAAGTAGCCCCTGTTCCCCACCAACCCCAAGCGCCCCCAGCCGCGCCCCAACCGCGAGTCCTCCAACCAGAAGTCGTGGTTGCCCGCAATCACGAAGCGTTTCCCGGAGGTTGCAGGGCAGGATCTGAGCCAACTTCCGAAGTCACGCAGGGTCTTCTCTGCATGTCCTGCAGATGGATCCATGGGAACCATGCCACAAGGGAGCTATTGGATGTCAGGCTGTTGTTGTTTTTTGGGGGCAAGGGTGGCATCTTGTGTAATACATTGTAATACCCTGGAACTCTAGATTTCATCTCTGGCAATTGATGTAGAAACAATCACGTCTCAAGGGTGTATTTGTGGACATTATTTGTCCCATACGGGTGGAAATCAATGGGAAGATGATGAACTTATGTCATTTCGTTGAGCCCTCGACCTTAAGGCCGCGTCAACACGGCCACAGCTTTCCCGAACTGTCGACAGGTGGAATATTGCTTTTTCATGGGCATTGTGCTCAGAATAAACATGCTCCGAAAATGTAGATCAACATACCAACACAAGGCAATACACCGAAATGTTGGTAATTTCATTGTAATGTCACCCTCTGAGTGTAGGAAAATCTGCCACCCAAAGGGTTTCATGATGTTTCCGGATTCCTGGTCCTAGACTGGTTGGATGCGTTATGTACACTCGTGACAGCGGCCGAGTCCCTATCACAGGATGACTCCTTAAACCCCATCAGACCGAGGTACGGCCAAACACGCATTGGGTTTTCCACCTTGATCGCATTCATTGGTGACCTTTATCGCATCTCTTTATAGCAATGATTCAATGGTGTTTGTAAGAAGCAGTTGCCGAACATATCCCATATCCTTGATTCATCCTATTCATTGAAGATATTATATAAGAAAATGATACTACATCAATCATATCCTATTCTAAGCATCATTCTTTTGTGGATGGAAGAATCCTGCACCGGATGGTAACTATTAGGAACTATGAAGCACGGTAAATAATGGGAACATACCCTCTGGTAATTTAACATAGCTATTGAAAATGGCCCATAGAAATAATTGATTTACCTATTAAAGATGGTGAATTTCCATAGTTATGCTAAATTGCCAGAGGGTAATGGGACAAACCATCTACCAACTGGAGATTTCTTCCACAGTGCCCCAAGGTGCAGTCACACCTCGTGTGGCGAAGCTTCCACAGGCCATGACGTCACCGCTGTGCAGCACAGCGTCGCAGGGGGGCAGCACCAAACCCGCATGGCGCTCGTGGGTATCCGAGACCAGGACCTGGCGTTTCAAGTTGGGGAAATCTCTTTTTGGATACCATGAGCTGGGCCTATGATATATGAATGGATTCAGTACGAAACCAAGATTTCATGGTCGGTATTTATGTAAGTAATTTAATGATATTTATAATGTTACTATGTTAGGGGGATGGGATTCTTCCGAAATTGTGTCCCAATTCGTGGCCATTTGAATCGGGAAAATAACGTGAAACTGAGGTGTTAAACCGCTGGGCCGAATTTGGTACTGTCATATTTTGAAGAAGAAACCACCTGGGAGTCTTGTTCCCAACCAATGCTGGGAGGGAGAAGTATTGAACACCCGCCAAACAAGAAACAAGACATGACTGAGAGACCTTTCTGCAAAACAATTTTGGGGGAATAAGTGAGCTACTTATTGTCTAGCAAAAATTCGGGGCGGAATCTTGAAGTATCTCCCAATCAATCATGAACCCCAAACATTTAAAAGTTTGAAAAGGGGGGAACCCCCTTTTAACCTCCCAGGACCCTGGTGTAAAACCTGAAGCATCCCGAAACAAATTGGCAACATATAGCCGTATTGTTTCAAGAACGAAGGCCGGCCAGGATTTGGAGAAAAGTAAGCGAACATGTTGGGCACAGAGTTCCAACAATGGGGGGTAGAGCGGGGTGCATGTGATAAGATTAACTCGCGAGGACTATCATCCCCCAACCAATATGAGTCTCCAGTATCACCAAGTATCTTGGTCTCATATTCCAACAAACATTCTTGCTCCAAGACCCGACTGCGAATAACTGCGAATAACTTGCCAAAAGCAACCAAAAGCTACAAATAGGCCAACATGAACAACCAAACAATCATCCCCTTGAGTTGTTTTTTTGGATGTTGTTTTTCTACATCTGCCGTCACGTTTTGTTTAACCCCCCCCATCGGATCACCAGGTGACGAGTCGCACCACCCCAGGCGCTTTCGCTGGCACTTCTGAGACAATGCTGTTCGCCAAGAGCCTAGGCTCAGATCCAGGAAGCACCTCAGTTTTGGAGGATTTGGAAGGTGATGAAGTTAGCTGCTAGATGGTGATGAAGTTGGAGCTTTTGGGAGCTGTTTTTGGGGTAATTTTTGGTGATTTTTGTGAAGATTGAGGCTTCTGGAGGTGTTTTTAAGGATGATTTGTGAGTGCAGGATTAAGACGAAAATGATGTTGTCTGAACATAGAGGTGAACCCTCAAAATACAGGGCCATTGTAGTAGGAAATGCCAATGATTGACCATGTCATGGAACAGGGATTTGAATCTTTAAACAACCCCAGGTGGGTGGGAGCTAAGTACAATATTATGATTAACATCTAAATGATGCTGAGATAATGATCATGATCATGACTCATGCCTCATCAAGATGACCATTCCAAATTTGTACTTGTTTTGTTTATATATACAATTATATAATGTGGCATTAGGTACAGAATGGGAAACTATATGCTACACATGATGATCCAGAGAAGTGCTTGCTGGCTCGCTATCTGCAGTGAGTGGCCTTCATGTACAAGAAGCCATTCCTGGGCTGAAGACGCCATGAATGATCCGGGCATGGCACAGGGCAGAGTTCTGCCAGTTATGTGTAGGATGATGCAAAAAAAGCGGAGGACTTCCATCCGGACAAAACATAAATGGCAGTCTAGGCGGATTTTGATGAAGCGCAGCCGCAATAAACTCGGAAGGCCTTCACTTGGGGGGAGAAGAAAGCAAGGATCGCCAAAATATAGAAATACCCTCTGGACAAAAATTAACATGGCGATTGAAAACGGCCCATAGAAATAGTTGTTTTACCGTATTACCTATTATATAAAGATATATAAAGATGGTGATTTTCCATAGCAAACTGTTAGTTTACCTGAGGGTATGGACGGTGGATGTGAAGGATCACTCTTCAATCACTCCCCTCTGGTAAACATACGAAAAGCGAACTGGAAAATGGCCATAGAAATAGTGAGTTTTCCCCATTAAAAACTGCCATGTTCCATATAGTTATGTTAGTTTACCAGAGGCTATTTGTATGTATTTGTTGGCCCTGAGTTTCACGTTCTATCCTTCAACTTCAGTGGGACACCGCGATCATCCCCAGAGATCCCAATGCCAAGCGTCTCTCGTGCTCCCAGCTGTTCCTTGGGGCCTTGACGCAGTGTCAGCAGCGCGCTCCAGCCCAGGTCATAGATCCAGCTGACCATGGCGTGGGGCGCGTTAAGGGGCGCCAAGCGGCCCGTTGCGCCGGCGGTTGATCCAGCTGTGGGGAGGGATGGGACCTATGGCGATTGACGTTGGTTTTTTTTTGGGGACCAACCAAGGATTGGACTTTTTGCCATGTTTTCCAAAGATTTAACGATGGGAAGTTCCCATATTTGTTCCACGAGTTTTCGGTGTTTTACCACATAAGATCATTCTGGGTTTCGTTTTTTGTTGGACCAGTGTTCTTGGATTTCTCTACGATGGCGATGATGGCCTTTTTGAGCTGCCTTCCTGGTTAATTTCAAGATGGTCTAGAAGTCGTATGATCATGTATGGTCCAGATACCGCTTCAACCCTGGTAGCAACTTAGCTGGTTGGTGGTTTTTTTTCAACCCCTTCGTGAAAAATATTAGTCAGTCATTATTATTCCCAATATATGGAAAAAATAAAAAAATGTTCCAAACCACCAACCAGTTAGGGTCCCAAAGCTGGTTTGCCATGCACACCGTGACACAACTGGTTCCAAGCGACCACCGATGAGAAGTACTTGCTCTTCTCTAAAGGAACCGCAGGCATGCGATCATCAGGGAGCTCCTGCATTGGAGACACTGGTTATTTCTTCCCCCTGATATTACCCTCTGGTAATTTGTTACATAGCTATTGAAAATGACCATAGAAATAGCTGATTTACCCATAAAAAATGGGTGGATTTTCCATAGTCATGTTAGTTTACCGGGTTTACCAGAGGGTACCCTCCTAAAACCATCAAGTTTTGAGTCTATCCATTTTGGGGAATTTTGGGGATTTGGGGGGGCCATGTGGGAGGTATTTCACGATATTTACATCAGGGGGGATGGATTAGAAGGGTCACCATATGTCGTATGTGATATGGTCACCGGGTACAGATGGGGTATTGTCATCCCATGCTGACATCGTATGACATCGTCTGACCCTCCATAGATTTGCTGAACGAATTCCGGGAAGACGCCCGAAAATGCCATGTGCTTTAGCCCTAAAATAGCATGAGTTTCATAGTATAACACAATGTTCTAAAGCCATCATTGGATTGCAATGTTCTAACGCCATCAGTTGGAGTATAACTCAGTATAACTGACAAAGTTGTTGTCCCAAATTCATTGCCAATCTTAAGCACAGGTACCCGCCAAAATGATCATCAATATGGCCCGTATAGCTTCTAATCCTTCTACTCCTCCATCAAAGCGGTCAAAGATCAAACCATGAACCGATCCAACCAAGGCCTACCTCTGCCCAATGACTCGATAATGAATCATACACTAAGGATGCGGGTTTCCAAACAGCGTGTGCAACCATCGAGTACCTTCCCCGAGTACATGTTGATATCATCTTGAGCATTGCATCATACGTTTGTCTTCGAGTCCAGTTTCAGTTGATTTTGAAGTAATTTTCTGGCTGCTGATTTTCGAGCACAAAATGCAATCGAGTAGATTTTGATTCATTGAATCTAGGGTCAGTGGCTGGCCCATGGCCCTGACTTCTGCGAAACTGAGGGGTCTAAAGAAAAAAACGTGGTTTCCACTGCTTGACACTGGATGTTTCACTGCAAATCCCATGCTCGTTCTGTACTTGAGCCATCAGCCACCCCCTTACAGTAACTTACAGCCTCCCATCGTTCAAACGGCCTCGTGTGCCTTGACAAAACTCCGCGATGGTTCAAAGTCCTTCCTGGTCAAGTTTTATGGGCAAATCACGGGGCATCAGGCTGCAGCCAGGTGATGATTTTTGGGGTCTCCTGAAGGTTTCCCTAAGCACTTGGACAGCCAGTGCAGTTCCTACATTATTTTTCCTGATGATGGTTCCAGGGAGTCAAACTTGGTAGTTTCGGTCCGGAAAACTTCACTCATCAATCTCCACTAGTAATCGGCCCTCTGATATACTTGATTTATAAGCTTTGGATCTTCAAATAAATGGCAAATCTTCGCACATGCCCTACACTGCATCCAAAAGAAACACATTGGGCTATTTAGAGAATGCAAGATGTATGAAACATGCTGAAATATTCACATACCCCACCCTTTCAGAAAAACGCACAGGTTCACGGTGTAGACTTCACCCATCACTTCCCGTTCCCCATGATCCAAAGCCTCGAAAAAGACTGGTCCCTTGAGAAGGACTGGTTGGCGTGCGAGTCGCGCCAAGCGAATCTCTTGCTGGCCTTGGCAAAGGCGGAACTGGTGCCGTTTTTGTTGTTGATATCTTGTGAGCTTGTAGGAACCCAAGAAGTAGAGAAGACGCATCCTATCAAAACAACGGTAAAATAGTGGTAAAATAGTGGTAAAATGATGTAAAATGGGCAGTTGCTGCTTGCTATAAACAGCAAGTGGATGCAAGTGGAATATGTCAACCTACTAAAAAACTAATTTTCTATGAGTCATTAGCAATCATCATCCTAGACATGGGTGGCCAGCCATATGAAAACCTTCTTGCCGTTCACCAGGTCAGTGGTGTGGCGGAAAAAAAACCAATGAAACCATCCATAGGCATCCCATTTTGGTCAACAAATGCCAGGTTCTACCTCTGCTGTTTAGCTACCCTTCAATCTGCCGGCCCAGGTGCCAAAGAGACATGTTTCTCCTCATCCTTCTCGTCCTCAGTGGCTAAAAAGACTTAATTACAAGGCTTTAGCCCGACATTTTTGAGCGGCAAGAGCACGGTCTCTAGACTTTTTTTTTCGAACAAATGACAGACAATTTCTACAATTTGGAAGCCAAAGTCTGAGTTTCTTTGTGATTTCCTGCCAGCCGACTGGATGCTTTGTGTCGAATCCCTCGTGAATCAACATCTGAGCGAAGATTGGAATCCGCATGGACACCTGGTCGCCTTTCGCCTTTGACACTCTTGTGATTCAGAGTGTTACCAGCATAGCTTAAAAAATAAAACAAATCAAAATAGTTGGTTTTGGAACATGGCCCCTCGGATTTTGAGGGGTTGGAGGGGTTACGATCCTTCTTGATAAGCAACCTTGTGATTGAAATGGCTGGTGACAAACTCATTGGGATTGCACTTGAGCGCGGGAAGTTGTTTCTACGAGGCTATATATATATATAGTATAAATAATACACACACATCATATATATATATATACATGTATTATATATACAATTATATACATAATACTACTATTATTATTATTATTATTATTATTATTATTATGTTTTTCAATGTTTTTCATATATATATATATATATATGGTAAATGTGATCGTTCAGCAGTAGAAGGAGGAACTCACGCGGAACGCACCATAGTTGGGAGTGGCCTTGAACTACCCAGTAGTGAACCTCAGCCAATCTCAAACTATTTCTGGCCAGAGGTGGAAAAGTATGTCATAGACATTCATAAACCATACTTGCATCATAATCTATATGATATAGACTATATTTATATTGCGTATACTTGCATCATAATCTAATAGAATTTGATTTTCACAAAATTTTCAGGTTTCCAACTGTTAGATCTATCTCTCACATGCAGGTCCCAGGGGCCTGTGGCTCGTCTTCCATGTCAACGCAGGTGACATGTGTCTCATCCGGAATGTTGGGCAAGGAGAAGGACCTGGGACATTTGACAGTCACATTTCAACCATCAGCAATGGTGAAGAATGGAAATTTGATGGAAATTTGATGGATGGATGATTTTGGTTTTGGTGTTCAAATTGTTGAATTCCAGGGAAGGATTTTTCCTCTTGAAGATAAAGTTTGGCCAATTGTCAATGATGTAATTTGGAGAAACAGTATTGCAGTGCCACTTTGAAATACCGTGCGCACGAAGAAACCGCGCGCGGTCGTTCAATTGGTTTCCCAATGCCATAAACCATCCCATTCACCAATCATATAAGGATTCCATTTCGGGGGGGTTCCGATCCTCAATTTGAAAAAAAAACAATTGGGAATAGTGACTGTGGCAAAGGGTGGATCCCACATTATAGTTGGGTTTAGAATGAAACCAAATAGTTATATTCCATCATATCCATTCAATGATCATATATATATATATATATAATATCCCCATGAGTATTGATGCTTTATGGCATTCACATGAATGTGGGTTTACCCAATAAACATCAATAAACCATCCCCAGAATCAGAACTAACTTATCGGTAGAAATTGGAATAATTACCATTCCCAGTCATGGTAGGTTTATGGCATTGGGCTTCCCACATAACATGATATGGGAATTTCTCCTATGGCTCCAATCTTGTCCTCGGGATGCTCATCTGACATGGGACATGGGACGTGGGTCCATGGTTTGACCCACAGCCATCTATAGTAGAATAGTATATACCCTCTGGTAATTTAACATAGCTATTTAAAATTGCCATTTATAGTGGGTTTTCCCATTAAAAATGGTGATTTTCCATAGTTATGTTAGTTTACCAGAGGGTAACCACCAAAGACGATATTTATTAGAAAAAACCTTTCCAGAATTATTCCAGGATGCTAGAATTTATATGTACTTCAGATTTTCAGGTTTCACACGTTTCCATCTTTTTGGCGGTTGCTAGAGCCCAAAAAGGCAGTTGCAAATCCGTCCCTCAGTGAAGATGCAAGTTCTATCTGGGCAGCGGCCAGGATCCAATATAATGTCCTATATACGCGTAGTTGCTTGGTTTGGGACACCCTAAACATCCCAATCATTTTTCAGACCTCATCGTCATCGAAAATATATAACTTATAACATGTGCAACCCCACATCAGAATTGACTTGAGCATATACCATCTGGTTATGACTAACATAGCCATGGAAAATCCACCCATTTTTAAGTTCGGTAAACCATCTATTTCTATGGGCCATCAACAAACCATGGCTTAATGTTAGTCATAACCAGAGGGTAAACTAGACATTTTTTTGATTGATTCGACTCATTCGACCGCATCTTGGATTTCTTGGATGACTTAGTGATGACTTGAAGTTTAGCACCTTGAAATTCCTGGGGATTGCGGAGTCAGTGACTGCTTCCGTTCCGCGGAGCCATTCCTTAGCCCAGGGGCCGGGATGTCATCAAGGTTGAAGAGTTGACAGTTGTTGACATTTAAAAATGTGAAGTCTGTGAAGTGTCAATTTATATGATCATATTTACCCTCTGGTTATGTCAAAATAGCTATTGAAAATGGCCATAGAAATAGTGGATTTACCCATAAAAAATGGGTGGATTTTCCATAGTTGCGTTAGTTTACCAGAGGGTAATCCCTTGAAAAAACCAACTGATGTTCATATTCCACATGAAAATTCCAGTGACTTGGACCAGGCTCCAACCCTCCGGAGATCTTAGAGACGGACGTGATGTGGCCACCTAATCGAGGCGTCACACGGCATTTGATGTCGAAGAAAAGGTGGTGGTATGTCTGATGTGATCCAAAAATAATTCTTAAATAGAAGGATAGATGTCTGGCAATCTTATTATTAATGGTATTTAGTAGTTTTTAGCAATTTAGTTAATAGAAATCCTATCATTACCATCATTGATAATTAACCAAGGATAGGATAGATAATCAAACTGCTTGCTCTGTCTATGAATCATTAATTTAATTCCTACACCATGGGCTCGCTGGAAACAAGTCGGTGATCAAAGGAAGAATGTCCTCGGATGTTTCTCGCCGTAGCAGCACGGTCACAACTCCACCACATGTTTATTCTTTGAACAAGAATTGACAAGAATTAAACAGGGTGAAAAGGCTTCATCATCGTATTGCTTAGTTAATGGAATTTACATGCTCCAACCAATGTTCTGGTGAATCTCAAAAACAATAATTAGTACAGTATACTATAGCATGATTTTTCCATGTCAGGTTCCATTTGTTTTTCATCAGTTGAAATCACAATTCACCGGAAGCCATACTATCATTCAAGTGGGTGGTGGGGACCTCTAAAAATCACAGACCTTGCCGCTGTGAAAACTTTACGTGAACTACGCTACTACGCCCAATAGATCCCATGGTAGTTAAAAATGGAACTCTCACACACACACACATATATATATATATATATTATATACCTATTCTATATAAATATATATGAATTTTTTTATATATGTATGTATCATATATATATATAATTATATATGTCGTGTATTGATGCCATATCCAATAGGACAAGTTCTCCCAAAGCACATGTTGAAAGCGTTCGATCTTTGGGCCTGTGGAAATTTGAGTGTCTCCCCAGGAACATCTCCACTGACCGACCTCGGTGTTTCGCAGCTGTTCAACCAAGTCATAAATGTCGTCCTGGCAGGGGAGGTTTTCCGGAGAAATGATGCAAAGATGCTTATTTGGAATATGTATTGAGAAATGTTGAGAATAAGAAAGAACCAGAAAGGGAATGTGTATGTAAATGATATGCAACAAACATTCCGAGTGAAGATCCTAATGTTGAGAATATTGACAGTACAGTAATTAGGAGGATACGTACTGTAATGAGAATATTATAGAATATTCATTAATATTCCAAAGAGGGCATGGAATTGCGGCACATTGCCAGTCACCGCCAGACTCAACATTTTAGGCAGGGCAGTCCTTATGGGGACCTTCACCATCTACACTTGAGACTATCCATCAACACTTCACTGAAATCTGGGACAGGCTGGGCGGCCACCATCCCAGAAATCAAGTCAAGTCGGACTATCCATCCAATTTTACGATTGTGAATGTCAATTCGAATTGTTAGATGTTGGAAGTGTTTGAAACATATTGACATGTTTTGACACCACAGGTCAAAACAAATCCCAATACTCACGGGCTGGCGAATTTCTATGGCTTGTCCAATGCTATCCAGGGCGTTTGAGATCGCAAAAGAATTCATCCAGTTTCTAGTCAATGTCAAAATGGCATCATAGACAGCTATATGAGGATATGTGTCAAGATATCATGGCACATCATGGCACACTTCTCTGAAAACATCCTAAATCAGTATAAATCACTGCTAGTGACGTATTTTATCCCTTCAAAATCTATGGGATTTTTGAAGAAAAAAAATGTTGATCCACCCCCCAGCTGGGGAAGACATTTTTATCCAAGACGTCCTTCAGCTCGACTCGTAGATGTTTGTAGATTTCCTTGAGCTCATGGAGCATGCTGCCGTGCACTGCTGCGGTACTTCTGAGGTCCTGCCAGGCGATGATCGATGGATGGATGTTGAAATGTCTATGGTCCAAATATATCAACTAACATTCTAAAGAATATGTCAACTAACATCATATCAACCTAATTTATGTATTTCTGCGTTCATTCAGTTGTTTTATTCATCTATTCAATCATCTGTATTGCATGCGAAAAGGTTCATTGTTCGTTGTGAAGTCTGGCATGTTCGTCGGTTTATGGCTGGAAATGAACCCATGTTCACCTGCCCAACCAAGGTTTTGCAACATTAAGTTGTTTCACTTTTAATTCCGGTGTTATATATACATATAATAACAACGATATAGAAGATGTAATGAAGATGGAGGGTGGCTGGGCTCAATTTACACCCTGGACAGAAGTTCGACAAAATCATAGATAATAGATGATAATAGATACCTATAGTTCAAAGCTGACCTTACCCATTCCCAACAGCTGACCAATTTCGTTGCCAAAATTGATGAAAATCAAGAAAATGTGAAAAAGAAAGAGCAAGTAGGTTAATAACAACCACATAGCGCCCGAATGAGAGGGAATGAAACCAACGAACAGTGGCAGACACCCATGCTGCCACACCTGCTTTGTGGCATCCTGTGCAAGGGGACACGCACGCAGACATGTCACAAGAGCCATTTGTGTGGACAAGTGCATAAAAAATGCCGAACGTTAATAACAGGGCCAGCATTTTGAAAAACTCTGCGCCTTTGACCTGCACCCTGACACTTCACAAGAGCCATTTTTTGTAAGAAATTACAAGGAATCGGCCGAACGCAGATGATACTATCACGAATGAACCACAGAACTTTACTGTTACCGTACGACCCCCTTCAGTGTCGCCACACTCTTCCATGAAAAACCGTTCTTCCAGTGCACCAGAGCACATATCAGGGAGCACATATCAAAACCAAAAAAATAGACCAAGCCATCACAGACTGAGCATCGAGATTGCCGGAAGAGGGTCGACAATGTGGGGTGCTATTCAAGAGCGCGGAATGGCACTCGAGAGCGCAGGCTAGACCCTAGATCGCATAATGGACCCCGGAACGCAGGATGGATTCGAGAGCGCAGGATGGACCCGAGAACGGAGGATGGGCTCGAGAGCGCAGGATGGACCCGAGAACGGAGGATGGACCCGAGAGCGTAGGATGGGCTCGAGAGCGCAGGATGGACCCGAGAGCGGAGGATGGACCCGAGAGCGCAGCATGGACCCGAGAGCGCGTAATGGATTCGAGAGGAGGGGATGGACTTCAATCAAACCGTGACCTTCGCTCTTTTCGGAGACCAAAAAAAAAACGATGCGAAAAAAAGGACCGATATGATTGAGCCACCGGATTGTTCCAACTTTCCCAAAACCTGAGTTTTGAGCTATTTGACTCCGACCTCACCCATTCGCGTCCGGCAAGCACAATCGTTCCAAAAAACGCGGCAAAACCAAAAAAAATAGCAGGCCACAAACCGAGATCGCAAGAACCATGCCAGATCGCAGGATCAACGCGAGAGCGTAAGATGGACCCGAGAGCGATTAGTGGACCCGAGAGCGATTAGTGGACACGAGCGCGCAGGCTGAACTCCAGAGCGCAGGATGGACCCCAGAGAGCAGCATGGACCCAAGAGACTAATGGATTCTAGACCGCAGTAAGAACCAGACCGCAGGATAGACTCAAGACCTCTAGCTGCTGCATTCCAGACAGTGAGTAGAAGTATCTCTCCGCCCTTTTTGCAAAGAAACGCCCAGGATCTTTAGTATGCATTGAATCAGTTTCCAAATTCTGCAACAGCGATCTGCATGAAATTCCACAGTTGACTTAGCAAGCACCTGACTCCTAGCAAGCATACTCCTAGCAGGTCTCACTCCAGCTTGGATCCCAAAAAACACGTCTGCTTAACGGTCTTCACATCAGCCGAAGCCAGATATTGGCTCACCGTGCCCGTCTTCCGAGACATCATGTGCACAAACCTGCAACCGTCCATATGGCTAATGATTTCTCGGGGGAGTCCACAGACATCGAGGCCGCAAAGAGGTACATGGTTCTCAGCAGTGAAGAAACAGCGACGAACTTCTAAGTATTGCGGAGCTTGTAAGCTAGCGTTCCCGCATCAATGTAAGCAAGTCAGACAAGATAATCAACCCAGCAAAATGACATTACAGAAATTACTTCCAAAACAAAGCTCCAGCACGATACTTGAGCTGAGTGCGTGTGTTGGCCCAGAGTGGGCGACATGGGTTTCGAATAGTATCCTATACGCTATAGATCTCCAAGACTTTTGAAACCTCCCCTGATAAAGCAAAGTGAGATCTGCCTCTAGGATTCAACATGAATTCAGTTGTAAAACATGAGGGGTTCCCCAATAGCTGGATGGCAAATGGAAAAACCATCTATCAATGGATGATGACATTTGGGTGTCCCCATTTCAGGGTGGAAACCCCCAGATGTTTCCACACGATGTCGGTGCCACCACCTTGAGGAGGTCCAAGGCGTTCACGTTGCGCTTTCCTTCGTCGCCTAAAGAGTCACACGATATTTCCAACGCCGGGTTTCGGGTGGAAACAAACAGAACATGGGTGCGAAGTATGAGGGTCTCGGTTTCAGCAAATTTCATGACTTCACCAAGCAGTGAGATTTGACCTGATTTGATGGCCAGACATCTGAATTGTACCACTCAACAGCGTATTTGACCACCAAAACTGAAGAACAAATGAAACATGATACAACATGATAAAACCATATAAAACCATGGTGTTTCCATATAGGAGTCGACTGGATAGAAGCAACATTCAGACTTGAGGTGGATGGACCGAGAGCCCAATCCCCATACGCTCGCTCTTCAGCGAGTAGCTATGATAGCCCACCAAGCCATCACTACGATGTGGCATCAAGACCTGGGATGTGGAATCCATGGCGGTGTCTGAAGTTGGGTGTGTCTGAAAACATGTCGATGCCCAGAAAAACCATCAGAAAAACCCCCGACTTTAGCTGTTTTGAATAGGGAAAATGAATGAACATGATGATAATCCAATAAATAATTATATATATATATATGTGTATGATATAGGGGTACGCTGTTTGCAGAAGAACCCAATGGGCCAGGAGTTCCCATGATAGCTTGCGCTGCCGCTACCAATACTTACTAGCTTTGTAACCTCACCTACAGCCCCTCAGACCGCCGACCGAGGCTGCGCTTCACAAGTCAAATCTCAATGAATATTTTGAAATGCAAAAAGCTAATAAAAACCAGCACATCACAATTTTCTGGCTATCTTTGGTCCTGAAATCACAGGTTTATCGTCTCTGGTTGGTGGTTTCAACCATCTTGAAAAATATGGGTTATGGAAAATAAAACATGTTCCAAACCACCAATCAGGTCTAATCCCATCCCCAAAAAAATGTTTCCCACCCCCCAAATTTTGGTCCCAGATATGTGTAAATTCCCCATTCAACCACGGTTTTTTGTGGGGGTTCTTTCATATTGGGCTGATGGGATTGTTGAACTGCCACATCCACCAGATCCACCGGATCCAAGTCGCTCGGGATTTGGTCCCGTTCGTCGCATTTTCTTTCGCGCGCAGGAAGTGCCTTTTTTGGAGAGAAAAGGATCAGCAGATGCCCTTAAAAATGGCAGGAAACACGAGATGAACAATGGTTAATGGTGATGATTAATGGTGATTAATGATTATGTAATGTTTATTCATGTTTATTAGTGGTTATGGAAGTTGCCCTCTGGTGTACTCATGGCTAGCTGGCCCCTGACGAAATGGAGGTTTACAGCTGGGAAAATCATCTATACAGGGTATGTTCCATGGCCATTTTTGATTACCAGATGGTATATACATTTAATATAATTCAATCGACTCCGAAGCGGATGAATGAGTTTCCGAGGCCAGGCGGCCAGTCATACATCATGGACCTCTCAACTTGAACATCAGGGGGACATGGAATGGAACTAGTTTAAGGCCTCTCCTCGAACTTCATCGATGCCATCACGATTTGAGGACAGTGTTCTATAGATGACTTATACTAGCACCAATCCGGTAGAGGTAGAACATGGAACAACCTTAATGATTTCCAACTCTCAAAAATTCTGACCCGTACTCGAGGGAGGTTTCCGCAGAATACTTACAGTAACACACCCTCCGAGAATTGAGGGTCGCTGACCCTTTGACCGGGATCCAGCGCAGTTCGTAACAGTCAGACCAAAGGCCGTCTACCTTTTGGATCTTTTGGATCTGAACCAAGACCTAACTGTTACATCAACCAGCACAACTGACATCAACTGACCGATTTCACCGGCCGTTGCGTACCATCCCCCCCTCACGTTGAGGCAAGTTGCGATGGGGGCGCAGGCATGGCGCGCACTTTGGCGGGACTTGAGTCGAAAAGCTGCCAGCACTGATTGGTTAAGAACCTCCAGTAAAACTCGTGCATGTGGATGATTGAATATGGTGGAAGATGGTGGAATATACACGAAATATGGTTAAATATAGTGGAATATGAATTAAATGATGGTTGAGTATGAACGGTAAAATCTGGTTAAATATGAATTCAATATTATTGAACTGATTGCATATCCGCTGACCCCAACCAAGCGAGGGAGAGCGCGCAAGGGAAGGAATAAGTATGATGGTTACAGTAAATATGATTAGGTATGATATTGAATATGATAATGATAATATCGCAGCTTTGACGGTACATTGAAACGAGACTTGGGAGCAAAAGACAATGGTGTGCTGTCGTTTTTCCCTTTAGTCAATCCATTGGTGATATCCTCGCCTCCAGCAAACTAACACAGATGTGGAAAATCTTAAATGATCTAAAATCTGTAGATCATTTCCTGGTAAACTGTGGGGTTTCCGGGTTTCCGTATCTAGTGTATATTCTACGTCAGGCTAATTGCAAACCAGGATAAATTTCTAGCATAGATTTAAGGATAATTCCATGATGATAAAACTAAAAAAAACATAAAACAATGGAATCCACCGGGGTGTGCATGGACAAATCATGACAAATCAAAACAATTCCATCTTTCCAAACATGCTTCGACCTTTTACCACCCAGCATGAAGCCAACAGAATTGAGTTTCCCAGAATTGGATGCTGGAACAACTGCAGGAACCCTTGATAACAGTGGTAAAAATCCATGGCTTCCGATTCAGATTGTCCCAGATTGTCCCAGTCCGTCCCTCGAAAAATGTCTGAACCCCACCTCGATGGACAAGGGGTTCTCACCTGGACTCATGGGCGCTGTGAAAAGTCATCCAGGTGACCTTCCTGACCTTCCTGACCGTCCTGAATACCATGATTTTAGGGGATGAAGATCCATAACTACCAGCTATTTTGATGTGAACTACAGGTGTACAAGTTTTGACCCATCCCCATATAATTTCATGATCATAAATGGCTTTCGAGTGTCATGAGACCTTCAAGGAGGGATTCACCTGGCAATGGGAACCCCACCCTATTTTCAACAGGAAATTGATGTATCAACTGCGAAGTATCCATTGCCACGCTTGATATTATATATTAGAAGGTAATGGCCCCCACCCAACCAGGCTAGAGTTTGTGCCCCCAGAGGCAGAGTTTGTGCCCCCAGGATCGGCCAAGTGTAACGGAAAAAGTAGAGGTGTCAGAGTTTCAGCCCAGCAGTTGGATGGTAAAAACATGTAAAAACCGTGGAGTTTTAATATATGTTAATGGATTTTACCGAGTTTTACCCAATTTTCCATGTCCCAAACAAGGCCATGGGCAGATGTCTAGACTTGGGCGTACCCCCGCCTGCGTGGACGTGGATACCCTTGGCCTTCGTGAGTTCTAAGAGGTGCTCTCGGACATCCTGGCCATGAAGTCCATGGTTGATACCATTAAATCCACGGATGGTAAACAGTTTGCTATTGAAAATGGCCATAGAAATAGTTGATTTACCCACGAAATAATGGGTGGATTTTCCATAGTTTTTTATGTTTCCGGAAATTGTTCCCTTAGACTCTGGTAAACGTTTACATAACTCTTGGAAAATCCACGCGTTTTGAAATTAAATTGTCATTTTCAATAGCAAACTGTATGTTTACCAGAGGGTAATTCTGGGATACGATGAGGTAAACACACAAGAAATATGGAATGCCCAGGAAACGCGAGGAAATGATCTTCAAACGATGGGTAGGTTACCAAGAAAACAAACCCAATAGTAGTGGTTTGCGAAACTGGGTATACCATGGTATACCCCAAGTTGAGTCATGGGATGATTCAAAGCCAAAATGGACATAGTTCCCTTTTCTGGTTGATATTTGGGGACAGGTGGATACGCACCCTAAATATCCCTAAATTAAATATGGAACCAACAATAAGGGCCTTTGCCAAAGTTCTAGAGCTCGAAATTACTCATTTCGCAGTTCAACCAAAGCCATAGTTCAAAGCATTTCATCGCCCTAGGTCCTAGGTCCCCAAATTCGACAAGTCCATCAATAATCCTAAGTCGGAATCGGATGCCAAATTCCACCAGCCAGCAGCTAGACTACTAGAACAATCAATCAAAAATTGGAGCCCACTCAGCAGGGACATTCCATTGCTTTATCCGACAAAAAAAAAGTCTCCCCACAGGATGGTGCCCCCCAGTTATAAGTTGGTTTATAAACCCCATTAACTAGTTCGTTATATCTGCCATAAACCATAGTTATGGGAGTTATGTGCACCAACTTAGCTAACGAACTGGGGCACCACCTTGCAAAACATCGAAAAATCACTCTCACCCATCCGCAGATGCCAAGCTCTGGCGACTCTGGCGACTCGCCATTTTCATCCGCGGCGTCCGGAGCTGCTCGCTTGGAGCAAACACAGGGTCTCCGCGCTAGGGATCCGCTCAGCAGCTGAAGCCCTTGACCTTCAGGGGAGGCATGCCGTCCTGCAGGAGAGATCGGGGAGGCTGTGGCTTAAAAATTGCTAGTTGTATATGTACCCTCTGGTTATTTGTTACATAGCCATGGAAAATGGCCCATTTATAGAGGTTTACCGGTTTACCTATTAAAAATGGTGATTTTGCATGGCTATGTTATATAACCAGAGGGTAACTATATTATTATATGGGGCCTATATAAACATGAGGATAACTGTTTTTTAAAACCCGCATTTAACTTTCTGGGGGATCAGTAGGATTTGTAAATGTTCAAAACAAAGTTATATAACTTATCTAACTATGATTTATCATAGGCATTAATAAGTTGGTTTACAGCCCCATCTAAGTAACTTCCGGATGATTTCCCCACGTGTCACTGGAGTGAAAGTGGGTACAGAGTATAGCCCTATGACTGGCTGGCGATTTATAATAGATTGTAATAGCACCCAAATGGTTGGTTCATGAAAGTATTTGGTTGTTGTGTTTACCACATTAATGTTGCTTAAGCAATAACAAACGATCCCAAACATCATTATAAATGGCTGCTATATATAAACCATCAATTCGTATGGGTAGCTTATTCTTGTTTTACCAATATCTGTCCATCCATTCCCCTAACTGGGTCTGAAATATTCTGAAATACACTGAGATCTACAGGTTGGTCATCACTTTCCCATGATTTCCATTTCGGGGGTATGGCGGTACACCAAATGAACGTTGGAAGATTACTTTCCACGAAAAATTGTCGAACTGTTCCGAATAGGTGGAGGGTATCGTATTTTTGGACACGCCATAAATATTGTCAATCTTGGATTCCTTGCAACAACTTAAAGTGTTAGCTGGTTAATCAGTAGATGTTCTTATTTATAGCAAAAAATAAGTATCAAACTGCCCGTCCAAGGTTGACCTAGTAAACATCAACATCATAAATATGTTGTGGTCGAGTTATTGTCGCTCCCCGGGCTCAACAATTTGAACTGCGCCTTTTGTGGCAGAAGGAATTTCATCTCTTCCGCCTTCAGCGCTGCAGCGGCTGTGTGCACAATTATTTTTTGAGGGACAGAACTGATAGAACTGTAATTGGTGCAAGCATGTGCGTTCAACCATGATCATGTTACATGTTTGCTTGAAACTGCTGGAAGTATCTAGCTCAAGTCAAAATTCTTCGTAAATGGCCCATTCCCAAAAAGTCAAATAAAATCAGGCCATATCTCAATCCATAAAAATAATCAAATCATAGCTCAATCTATAACAATGAGCCATTTCTATGGGAACCATCTCCGCCCCATCCATACCCCACCAACCCCCGAGGCCTCCTCCTCAATAGCCTGTCGTGCCTTGCCATATGCCACGCCGCCCAAAATCGTCAACGAGGCGCCAGCGATCTGCATCGCGCTCAGGGCCTTGCTGTGCAGCCCAAAGGCCTGGTTTCAAGGCCGCCTAGGGAACGGTGACTAGACGAGAATCATGGGCCTGAAATTTTGTGGCCTGCAGAGTTACGTGACGAAGTGAAGACAAAACATGGGTGTTTTTGGACCAACCAAAACTGGAGACTTCAAGAAAACCTCCGATTTCATCGATGAAAACCAAGGTTTTCAGATACAAACTCTTGGTGATGTTGATCAACAAAAAATTGAAATGTTGACCGACCGACTTTACTAGTTCTAGCGAGATCTCTGAGATCACCAATAAAATTGGTGGCTGCGCCAACAAAGAAAGGGGTGGAACCAAGAAAAATGTATAAAAGTTGTGGCATTAAAATGGGTTCAATGATCAAAAACAATGGTTGAACCGGCCTAAAATGGGATGTCAGTAAAATAGATTGGCAGTCTCAAGGTCGTCTCAAGCATTGTCATGTCCATGCCTACTGTGGGGACGGGCTGCAGGGTTTTACCCCAACCACATCCCCCATATCCCCCGCCCTGAAACCGCCTCGATACCAATGATGATGAACTTGTTCGCGTTGATCATGACCTTGCGCTGCGGATGTTGGTGGCCCTTCAAATGTGCCCATCTCCAGTCTACTGTGAAAACCTGCATGAGATTGAATTAAGAATAACAAAAGAACCTAAGCTGCTCCAAACTGACCTGAGTATTTCTTAATTTAGCGTTTCCCCTCTGAAAGCAGCATCAATTCAACAGTGGTTTGGTGAATTTCCTCGGCCAAGCAAGCACCCTGGAGAATTTTCGGGATTTGAGTTGACCACAGAACCCATGCAATAGCTAGTCTGCTGAACAGACCCTCATAATAAAAAGGATGCAAAAGGTTTGGTAAGGCAATGCTTGCCTAACATGTCACTACAATAAATGACCATCAGCAGCTGCTCAACATCTCCTTTCGCAACCCGTTCAATCGAATTTTAACCAAATGTTGTTCCTTTTTGTGGCCATCAAAACACTTCAAAATTCATCGCCGAAGCCCAAGTTTTCCCAGCAAAATCCGGAACTCCTTCCTCCATTTCCCTCATGTTTTCATGGCAATCCCGACATATCCCGACCAAGGGGCCAGGAAGCTGGTCGCGCTGATGAGACTTTGCGCCCAGATGCTGGTGTAACTGATGGCCAGGCCGATGACACAACTTACCGCAATGTAGGCCTGGTGGCTCCCAGTGGGCCGATGGCTGAGAACATGGCGAAATCTGCTGGTAAAAATGGCTGATTCATGGTGAATTGTTGATGGTTAGTGGTTGATTCATAGTGGTTCATGGTTAATAGTGGTGACTAATGGTGATCAATAATCGTTAATATATGTTAATATAGTGGTGATTGATGATGAGTCACGTTTATTAATGATTGAAAGTAATGGTTGAAAGTAATGGTTAATGATGGACGTAACCCTCCGGTAATTTCCACCTGGCCACGATCAAGATCCCCGAATCCCCAAACCAAACGGAGAATTTAGAGCTCCGAAAGGCAACTCTCAGCGATGGGAAAGTTCGGTGCATTCGCCAGGAACCCTTCCTCGTCTACCACGGAAGATTCGACGGAAGATGATGAAATATGATGAAATGATCCTACTGAGCAGATGGGAATCATGGGAAAATAGAGGTTCAGTTCAAGTGTTCAAATGTCTCTCAAATTTCTTAGGATATGTGTTCTTTTACTTTGCCAGTGGGCATTGGGATGAATTGAGATGTTTATATTACATGTTTTGAATATGTTGACGAAACTGGAATGTGCCTTTCAAGTGGGTTCGAGCTTGTGTCCTCTGGGGAAATAGCGGGGAATTCATGATTCAAGCAATAGTGATCTGGGTGTTTTAGACATTGCTTTTTGCTTGGATTTCTCTCTCTCTCTCTCTCCATTGCCTTCTCGAAGAGTTCAGCTAAGCTAAGGGCAAGCGAAAGGATTTAATACGATTTATTTTTGTGCATTTGACATGACTTAAAGTGACAACTGAGCTGGACTTCAAAATAATTCACAGATAAAAAATAATATACCGATACCATCCGATACCTAATTCATGTCCGGGGGTGACTCTTGCAAAACATGATTTTTAATTGATAGGTGCTGCTTTGGGACACCATTTGCCATCATGCAGATCTTAGTGATACCCTCCGGTAAACTAACATAACTATGGAAAATCTCCATTTTTTATGGGTAAATCCACTACAAATGGCCATCTTCAATAGCTATGTTAGTTTACCAGAGGGTACCGTACCAGAGGTTGATTATGGATGATTTCACCATGATTTCATCCATGCCGACCAAGGTGGCGACGCCAAGATGTCGCATTTCACCCGTAAAATGTCGTTTTTTTTAAAACCACCCAAGGTGAAAACGAAACGTTCATGCAAAGAATATGTTATTTAGATCCTCTCAAGTTGCTTCGAACCCCCTTGGGGACCATTTTAGAACCCAAATATGGGTTCTAAAATGGAATCTACAAGGGGGGTCTTAGAACCTAAAATGTTTGGCCGCTATTCCGTTTTTGGGTTCTAGAATGGGTTCTGAAATGGTATCTTCCACCCTTAAAAAAATCAATCAAAATCATCCAAAACTTTATATACTCGATGATGCACTCATGCGTCAAACTCTTCAACATCTTCACTTCTTGTAATGGTCCAATGTTTTCAAATCAACCGTTGGTATTGTAGACCAATGCTGAAATATCATGAAATAGCAGTAAGTAGCTGTACTTCTCTGCAACGTTGTTAAGGCCTTATTTGATCTTATTTGACCTTCTGTGTATAGAGCTACATCTATGTGTTCTGAAATGGAATCCATGGGCCACAGATGTTGAATCACACTTTGGTACATGAAGGAAACCATTCTAGAACCCTTCCCTCCTCTCCACAAGAAAAATTGGGACATTCCAGATCAATGTGTTTCCAAATCAACTGTTGGTATTGTAGACCAATGCTGAAATATCATGAAATAGCATTAAGTAGCTGTATTTCTCTGCAACGTTGTTAAGGCCTTATTTGATCTTATTTGACCTTCTGTGTATAGAGCTACATCTATGTGTTCTGAAATGGAATCCATGGGCCACAGATGTTGAATCACACTTTGGTACATGAAGGAAACCATTCTAGAACCCTTCCCTCCTCTCCACAAGAAAAATTGGGACATTCCAGATCAATGTGTTTCCAAATCAACTGTTGGTATTATAGACCAATGCTGAAATATCATGAAATAGCATTAAGTAGCTGTATTTCTCTGCAACGTTGTTAAGGCCTTATTTGATCTTATTTGACCTTCTGTGTATAGAGCTACATCTATGTGTTCTGAAATGGAATCCATGGCCACAGATGTTGAATCACACCTTGGTACATGAAGGAAACCATTCTAGAACCCTTCCCTCCTCTCCACAAGAAAAATTGGGACATTCCAGACCAGTGTGTTTCCAAATCAACTGTTGGTATTGTAGACCAATGCTGAAATATCATGAAATAGCATTAAGTAGCTGTATTTCTCTGCAACGTTGTTAAGGCCTTATTTGATCTTATTTGACCTTCTGTGTATAGAGCTACATCTATGTGTTCTGAAATGGAATCCATGGGCCACAGATGTTGAATCACACTTTGGTACATGCAGGAAACCATTCTAGAACCCTTCCCTCCTCTCCACAAGAAAAATTGGGACATTCCAGATCAATGTGTTTCCAAATCAACTGTTGGTATTGTAGACCAATGCTGAAATATCATGAAATAGCATTAAGTAGCTGATTTCTCTGCAACGTTGTTAAGGCCTTATTTGATCTTATTTAACCTTCTGTGTATAGAGCTACATCTATGTGTTCTGAAATGGAATCCATGGCCACAGATGTTGAATCACACTTTGGTACATGAAGGAAACCATTCTAGAACCCTTCCCTCCTCTCCACAAGAAAAATTGGGACATTCCAGATCAATGTGTTTCCAAATCAACTGTTGGTATTGTAGACCAATGCTGAAATATCATGAAATAGCATTAAGTAGCTCTATTTCTCTGCAACGTTGTTAAGGCCTTATTTGATCTTATTTGACCTTCTGCACTTTATGTACACATCCCCTTAATTTCAAAATTCTGCCTCGTTAATTCGGGGTGACGTCGTGACGTCGAATTAAATCGTACAGATACATCATCATATGGTATTATAGTATATATTATAAAATATATTATACTGTATTATACAAGCTTCCAGGGTTCTACAATGCTTACGGGACCGGGGGTTCTACAATGATTTTTTTTCATTCTAGAACCCTCCGTGTTTATCCCCAGGGGGGGGGCATTCTAGAACCTTCCAACTTGAGGGTATTTATTTAGTTGGTACAAACCATGGTTTCCAATAGGTTCTCAAATGAAGATCGCAAAATCATTCATCGTCATTTTATCGATCCCATCCCCATCTTTCTTAGTAAAATCTCCATAAAATTCTAATGACCCCGGAGTACTGAACCCCCTGGGCTTTTGAATTGAGCACCACCTTAGTCGCAACATCACCATTTGGGAGGAACCCCTGGATCTACCCCCTGGTAACTTAACATAGCCATTTTACATATATATATATATACCTAGTTACTAGTTACTATCTTGAAAAGTGATGATTTTCCATAGCTATGTCAAATTACCCTAGGGTAAACTCTTCACCCGGGGTTCACACTAAAAGCCACTAAAGTCACTAAAGCCACTTTCAGAAGTAGCGGCAGAATTTCGGCCGCCGGCCTTATCGATTGGACTGAGCAATGCCACCGCTGCTGGCAACTGAGAGAATTCTCCTGAAGGAAGAGCAAAAATGCCGTGTTTCGCAGAATTGGATCTTAAAACAGATTTACCCTCCAGTAAAGTAACATAGACCCTGCCAGTTCCGGGGTTGAAAGACTAGTGAAACCACTATAAATTGGTCAGTTTCAGGGTCTATGTTAATTTACCAGAGGGTAGATGATGATGTTCAGCGATTTAAGCGTGAGATGTCAACAAAAACTGAATTACTGAATGCAAGTGGCCACAGCAGGCACAATCATCATGGGCTTCTGGACCGTTGCCAAATGCTTTTTTGGGATATCAACCTTGATGGAACTGATCTTATCCCCCTGCCATCGAGGACCTCCCCTCTTTGTCCTTTGAAGTACATGGCCACACCAACTGGAAGCAGACCAACCTGTGTCTGCGAAGGCCGAATTTTGAGTCATGTTCGGCTTTTTGGTTTGTGCTGCACATGCAGCAAGGGTCATGGTATGTGCCATGATGTGCCATGAGCCACGAAAAAGGGGCCCATGTTTGTTCCCCGAGTTTTTCTTGTTACTCACCTGGATCTCACCTAAGATTTGAAAAATTCCCACAGCCCAGTCGCTAAGTTGTTGATCAAGGTGATGCCAGTCCTGACGTGCTGACGTGCTGAGGTGCTGACCCTCTGGTAAATTACTGTAACAGTTTGCGAAGTGGAAAATCATGGAAAATCACCATCTTTAATAGGAAAATCAACAATTCCTATGGGCCGTTTTCAATAGCTGTTTCAATTACCAGAGGGATCCAGAGGGTATCCCAGTTGGAGGGAATGAGAATGCATCCACTGATTTGGGGTCAAATGTGGTCAAATGATTCTGAGCCATCTTGTGCTGGGCTATCTGTAACCAATTGACAATACCATCTGGTAAACTAACATAGCTATTGAAAATGGCCATTGATAGTGGATTTTCCCATTAAAAATGATGATTTTCCATAGCTATGTTAAATTACCAGAGGGTACATCTGGGCAAAATCACACCAGACTCATCCTTAAACTATGCCGAGAATCTTTGAGATATCCACAGGGCACTGCTCTTTTGAAAGCAACAGCCTTTGCAACAGCCGGTCTGCCACAGCAATGGCACTGTTGAGAAGCACCCAACCGATTCCCTGCCAGCTGTTGACAGGCAACTTGGACACGTACATCATGGCACCTGGGGGACATGGGTCGATGACCACCACCACTATCACCCATATAAGATATACCTGGGTAAATCACAACTCACAAATCTGAAATATTGGCTATTTTGGGATAGTTACAGTATACCGTATACCCTTTTACCCTTTCTGACCATTGTTCCAGTGAGGTTGCAGTGAGGTCGTTACAATTTGCCGAGATAATCAAATATTTAGCATATACATATATGATCATATATGTATAGACATATCATATCTCTATAAAGTATGTGTGTGTATGCCTTCAACCCTTTTTCCTGGCCTATCATCATCATCAGGATGGCTCCCAACATCCGTCCGCTGATACGCAAGGGCTCTGGGTAGAAGCGCTCAAACACCAAGGTTCCCAAAGGAGAGGTGTTGCGCAGCACGATGACCAGCGACATGGGAGCGTGTTTCAGGGCTAGAATGGAGGTCAACAGCATGCCTTGGGGAACTGGTTCAACTTCAATGGATTGGTTAAGTTAGGAAAATCAGGAAACCTCTAGATATTTCCACAGTTATTCAACTTCAATAGTTCAATGGATTGGTTGAGTCGGGTCCGTGAGTTGTATTTTTCCCCTTTGTAGATCTTTAAGTAGTGTTTTTGCAGCGGCTCCTTGGTAGAAACAGCTCGCATGCCCAGAGGGGTTCATGCTTGGTGGTCCAATTCTATTGGATTGGTTTATATACTTGGGAAACTCTAGAGAAAACATGAGAAAACCTTGATTTTCCACAAGTTGTCTATGCGGAGTGTCCTGCATTTTTTCGATTGGTGGTTTGATCCGGAAGATCTGTTTGGGATCAATGTGGAAGCTATATCACTGGGATTAAAAGTATCAGGTTAACCAGGATTATCATAGCAACAATCTTAGATACCTTGCAAAACATCAAAGTGTTAGCTGGTGAAAGTAGATATTCCTATTGAAATCGCAAAAGATTAAAGGATTAGTTTCTACCCATCCAAGGTTGACCTAGCCATATAATATGCCATTATATGCCCACAATTTACTAGTAATCCCTTCCTCCTACTACTAAACCCCGCCCAAATACTAAAAACTAGTGTCCATCTCCAATTTTGGAAAATTTCAGATTGGCCAATTTGACTTTTAATTGATCCCCTTTAGAAAACAATTTAAAAATCAAGCTACCATTTGTGGGTTTTCCCTTCTAATACTAAAAACTAGTCAACCCCGGGGTGTTTATTATTAGGGTCCGTCCGATGTTTTTTAGTTTTTTATATTAGGGCTTTTAATTTAGTATTAGGGGGGAAGCTTCGAAATTCAATTTTTGGCAATATTTTAATTGCGTTATATAAAGAAATTTAATAAATTTTGAAATCGGAAAAAATAGTTTTTATTATTAAGGGTTTTAATTTAATATTAGGGGGAAGCTTCGAAATCCAATTTTTGGCAATATTTTAATTGCGTTATATAAAGAAATCTAATTGATTTTGAGATCGGAAAAAATCGTTTTTATTATTAAGGGTTTGATTTTATTAATAGGGTTCCCTAATAATAAATCCCCCCTTAATACTAAAAACTACCTGCCGTGTTTATTAATAGGGGGGGGACGTTTAGTATTAGGAGGAAGGGATTAAGGGGGTACCAATCTCAATAGGAAATTACAGTGTCATTGTGGATCTAACCACCCTAAATTGACACTCTGGAAGGGTGTAAAATGACATAAGCTTCCTTGTTATCCCAAGGGAAGGAGAGAAAAAAAACCATGAAACGCACTAAGGGTAAAACAATGATAAACCATCCCCCAGTCATCACCATAAATAGGTGATATGGTTGCCATTCCCAGTCATGGGTGGTTTATGGCATTCTTTTACCCACATGACAACCAGGTACCGCAGTAGAAGGGCACCACCATGCACCAGCGTAGCAAGTCTTTCATCGAGCCAACGTGGATGTAGGGAAAGGCGAAGAGGCTCAAGCAGGCGGCGGAAAAGAAGAGCTGGGCCCACACCAGTGAACACTCCAGGGGGAAGTGCTGGATGGCGAGCTTGTTGAAGAGCAACATCCCTACCTGATTTCTGGGTAAATTATAATAATTCACTAACCTGAATCTTGCGGCCATAAAAGGGGATGATTCCCCTTACTAACCATGATTCCAGTGAGGTCGCAGTGAGGTCGTTATAATTTACCCAGACCTGATGATTCAACGCCACATCACCGTGATTTTTGGCTAGGGGTGCGGTGATTTGGACGTGCGTCACGCTCTATTTGGTTCTTCGGATCAACAATGGCGACCGGCTTGGCGGACTTTCAGGAGGATTGTCTGGCTAAAATCAGTGGTGAAACTCAAAAGAGGGTATATACTAAAGTTGAATCATGTCATTTCTGCTATCCCTACCCCTATCCTGACTCCAATAGTCAATTCGGTAGCTGTTGATGGAAACATATCCAAAATAAACCGAATTGAACTGAAAAGAACGACAATCGACAATTTTCTGATCAGTTGTGTCCAGTTTGGAAGTCAAAAAAAAAACTTTCCAAGTTCCGCTGAATCCAGTCACAGAGGAAAAGCAATATAAGGAAGTGGCCGCAAGGATCTGCATCTGCTCAGCTTGCTTCGACATGGCCACTTACAGTAAAATTCTTCGCTAATCTGAGGCGTGGATTGACGTAAGTCGTTGCTTTGAGCTGGAAAAAGTGCGGGGAGATATGGATAGATCATGCCATGAGTGACCCTCTGAGGTACCCAACAAGCAAAAGCATGTTAGCAAATGCGGGCTCGTTCATAGGCCCCAGGTGTCTGAAAGCAACAAATCACATTGGGGACGTGGGTCCCACTCCCTGAAAAGGATGAAACAAGTTTCTTTACATTGGTTTACCCGGCCGTAAAGAACCAGTCTGACCTTACCTGGAACCGCCAACATGAGCACCGCCTTTTTTGAGGATTCCTCCACACCGCAGCTGACTGCGACGCAGCTGGTCATCCAAGGGCTCCAAGGTTTCACTTCGAGGGGAGCAAGGTTTTCCTCTCCTCGGGGCGTGCAGGGTGAAATGCCCGGGGCCAGGGCCATCTTCCATGACCACCTCTTTGAGTCCTTGCCTGTGCTTACAGCTTCAGCCATCTTCTTTGCCTAGAAATTCATGGCATCTCCACTCTTTGCAGCTTAAATAGACTGAAACAGTATCACAATAAATGACCCCAGCATAACATCATAGAATCAGAACATAATATACTCTATTAATATGGGGGGTTCCTAAAATAGGGGTACCCCAAATCATCCAAGTCATGGATGACCATTTTAGTATTGAAACCAGTGGTGGCTTGGGGTACCCCCATTTTAGGAAACCTCCGCACATAAAGGGGTACCATCCATCCTCCATATTTAATGAATGTTCCATTGGTAAACCATCCATGTTGGGGTACCCCCATTCATGGCACCACCGCAAAAATACTTATAATTAGTCTATATATGTATATATTGATATATCAAGGGGCACTATCCAGTACCCTCTCGTAAACTAACATAACTATAGAAAACCACCATTTTTTTATCGGTATTTGTTTATTATTCCTATGGCCATGTTCAATAGCTTTTTGTATGTTTACCAGAGGGTAACCACCATTACCCATATAGTTGGACATTAACCAATTATCTAACCACCATTAACCACCATTAACCACCATTAACCACCATTAACCACCATTAACCACCATTAACCACCATGGTATCAACCCCTTTTGCACCCTCATCCCCCATGGTGTTTCCTTTCGCGTTCGCGTCCTCGGCTTCCTGTTCGATCCACTGCCGCGACTTGCCATAGAGGACGCCGCCCAAAATCGTCAACGACGCACCGAAGACCTGGATGTGGTTCAACGCCTGGAGATGACCAGGGCCTACCAGGCCTACCAAGCCGAAGGTGGTCATTTCTGTGGTCAAATCTCCGCTCTCAGACCTTTTTTTAAAAAAAAAAACACATCTATAGATGATATGATAGCAAGATATAGCAAGATTGGTGTGTAGCATTCTGTTTCAAGTGTGAAGTGCAATTAAATGACAATGTCATTTGCAGTCATTTGCTGAAACTGGCCATGAAATATCAATGGGATAAATGGAAGTTACTAAAGTGAATCACACAAACCATTTAGCAAACCACATCGCCTAAAATGGTAAAACAATCAATGGCAATAGAAATTCCAGCCCATTCATACGTAACTTCCGGAACCAAGGTTTAAAGATATTTGTTGAACATTATTATTTGAAGATATTTGAAGCATTCTGCCACCAGCATGCCGGGCGAAAGTTGTGTATCCAATTTGGCTTCGACACCCATTTGGGCAGTGCCTTGGAGTGCATACCAAAGGCCTAAGCCGCGGAGTGGCATCCGATCTGATCAGTTTCTGGACATCTGAATCGCCTTGAAATTACTTGGAAAGTCCATTCCAGGAAAGCACCTCGATGCCGATGATCACGAATTTGTTGGCGTTGATCATCACCAAGAAACTTGTGGCCTCAGCCAGCTTCAGCATTCATCTTCAACTTGACCAAATACATTCGGAGTTGATAGGAGAGGTGACATTTCTGAGAAACTCAGAAATGTGATCCGTCCGGGGCCCGGGGCTTACAATAAAAACACCTTGCACTTCTGTACCCCCTGGATATATAATCATATATATATATAATATATATAGAGTATACACTTCCCCCTTACACTCCCCAGCCCAGCCCAGCCCGCCCAGGCATATGCTGCTTCAACTGAGTGGCACTGATGAGACTTTGCGCCCAAATGCTGGTGTAACTGATGGTGAGTCCAATGATGCAGGTCATTCCAATGTAGAACTTGTCCTCTGCGTCGAGTCTTCTTCGGAGAAAGGCTGGGGTTTGGATGGGTTTGGGAGGACCTTTTTTGGGCTGGGGTAAAAACCTTGGGAGAAAAAGTTGGCTTGTATAGACCATGGAGATTTGAAATCCTTAAATAATTAATAGACATGCATGACTGGGATCGTTGAGATTTGAAATCCTAATAGATAAATATGCATGGGGGCTATCATCGCCGTGGCATGCTGTGCCATCCCAAGGACTCGGCCTAACTGCTTCCAAGCATCCCAGTGGCTTAAGGTGCCATAGACCAGCCTGGTGACACAACTTCACAAGCTTCAAACCCACCAAATTGACCAAAGTGACCCAACAATTCCCACTTGGAGCATCTTGGAGCTGGGAATTCCAGCACATTGGTCGCAAAATCAAGCTGTTTAGAAGGACAGGTTCCAGACCAACCTCCGGGTTCCCCAGCCCCTTCCCCCTTCCAACGGCCGAAGTAACGGCAGCTTGTCAATCTCGCCCTTGGCATATGCGGCAATGCCCACGGGGAGCAGACCCACCATGTTGTTGATCAGGGTGATGCCGGTCTTGCTGATGTCCACGGGGCATTGCTCCTCCCCAACTTCCGGAGGGGCCTGACATTTTTTCTCCAAAGAATCATATACACCATATTACGCAACACAAATAACCACCACACTCATTGATGGTTGCACAGCCCAGATTCAGTAATTAACCAGTGGCAATGTTGTCTTAACTTAAGTAACTGTGATGCAACCAATGAAAGATTGGTATACTGAGATACTGTTGGCTTTGAAAAGGGAAGGGAGTCACAACTCAAAAGAAAGATGTTTGATTTTCAAGCTGTGGTTCCAGTTCCACATCTGAGAAGGTTTTACCTAAGACCTCCCAAAGAAACATCGAAAAAGAACTCATCTCATCCTAAAACTCTAGGGCACCCCTAATGGTTCATCATCATTTTTTGCTAGTTCAACACTGCCATTTTGACAGTATCCCCATTTTTGGGAAACCCATCAGATTATTCTCCACAGTTTGGCGCATAAATCCATATGGATATCAATCTTGGGTGGTAAAACAATGTGAAACAGATCGCAATCAATGATGCTGAACACGCTTTACAGAGCATCTAGGATTCGAATCTCACCCTCCCACTGTCCCATCCCACTGCTCCCACTGTCTCTGCTCCCACTCCTTGGACAGCAACAAGCGTTGAAGCAGCCGATCCACGACAGCAATGATGCTGTTGAGGAAGACCCAGCCAATTCCCTTCCAGTTTTCTGCGGGAAGTTGGGTCACATACATCACCTCAGCGGTGGTGTTTTGTTTTTGTTGGCTGGAGAAAGTCCAAGGAATATTGGAGGGCTGGCCCAGGCCAAACATATATACAACTATATACATACATATACATATATACATATATACATATATATGTATATATGTATATATGTATATATATTATGTATATATGTATATATGTATATATGTATATGTATATATGTATATGTATATATATATATATATATGTATATATGTATATATGTATATATGTATATATGTATATATGTATATATGTATATGTATATATATCTAAATATGGTGTCTATTTGTGATTTTAATTCAGATGGAATTGGATGAAGGGAAATCTATATAATGAGTTGAAACCAAGTTTTTCCACCATGGTTCTTGTTCCATTTTTGTTCTCCATTGGGGTTTCGTGCAGATTTCCCCATCCCAGTCTTGATCAAACTGGTGGGTTACCTATTGGTCCCCCATGGAACATGGGGGACCAATACCACCCTTTCATTTGAATAGGGAAAATGATGATCAACCATCTAATTTGGTGGGTTTTTCCCCGTAATTTTTCAGCCCAAGCCAGATGATTCCAGTGCTCGGCCAGTCACCCCCCCAGCAATCATCAAGCAAATGGAGCCCAGCATGAAGCCACTGATGCGCAAGGGCTCAGGGTAGAAGCGCTCGATCAGCAGCGTGCCCAAAGGAGAGGTGTTGCGCAGCACGATGACCAGCGACATGGGAGCCGTCTTGAGAGCCAGAATGGAGGTCAACAGCATGCCTTGCGAAACTTCTTCAACTTCAATGGATTGGTTAAGTTGGGAAAATCTAAAAGGAAATCTCTTAGGATCTAGATATTTCTACCGTTTTTGGTCTTGAAAAGTTCAATGGATTGGTTGACTTGGGAAAATCTAGAGGATTTTCCTGTGGAAAGCTGTGGAAAAACAAAAAGGTGGTGTCCCACAATTCTTCCCATCATCCAATTCTGGGAGGTTTGGTGGCTTGATGCCAGGGAACACTGGGGAACACTGGGTGATTTGGGCGCATGATACACAACTTCAACAAAGAAAGCCATGCAGGTGAGTCGGTTTCCCGAGCCACCAGGTCGATTGACGCAGCCGAAATTTGGATGAAACATGATGAAACCAAAGTAATACATTAAATAGAGAATCAGATAATCTATGGATATCTATGGCATTCTATGGCTACATGTTCCCCTAAATTCCCTGATTTTGTTCACCCCCAAAATCCCCACCTCAAATACAACCAATATCAACCAATCCCAGGCACCGCAATAGAAGGGCACCACCATACACCAGCGGAACAGGTCGCGCGCGGAGCCAACGTGGATGTAGGGGAAGGCGAAGAGGCTCAAGCAAGAAGCTGCGAAAAAGAGTTGCGCCCATACCAAGCAACACTCCTGAGGGGTGGGCGGATGTGGAAAAGTTATACAAATAACATCAAATAACATCAAATAACAAAGATAATTACTGTATATATATATATAGCGAGAGGTAATCGCCAGGAATGATTTTACCGGACCTATCAGGACCTATCCCAATCGTCTTAGGTCGGCCACACTGACCACACCCACCGGTTTCCCAAGAATCCAAGGGAAAGTCTTGCACCGCAAACTTGTTGAACAACAACATCCCCACGGAGGCGAAACAATAGCATGAGCTGGCCACCACAATCTGCATCTGTTCAGCTTGGGGCGCCATGAGCGAGAGGGTGTTACGCTCCTCGCTGGCGGGAAAAATGATGTCAGGTCATGATGGATTCGCCGCCAACAAATTGGCGATGCAAAAAAAAAAAACTTCGGGAATACTGAAACGAACTCGGCATGTGAAGGGACTCTGTCGCAACGACACATGAGGTCCAGAATATCCAGGTCCAGCCAAGACTCGCAAATAGTCTGGTAAGATCGCGTAAGATTGCTTCTGGAGCCCAAGGCAGCGAATCATGGAGCAGCACTTTGTGAAGTCGAGGCAACATCTCAACATTAAATCCTGTAAATCCACTCAAATACATTCAAATCCCTCAGTTTGTGCATGTCAAGTCAGAAAAAACTGGAGAATTCAATGAATTTTCACCGCAAAAATATCGTATCATCGCCCGCAAAAACGGTTCCCAATCTCTCCTCATCAAAGCCACGAAGGGGCTTGTCCTGCCGGTTTTCCAAAGCTATGACATGCTGTGGGTGTCTTAAGAAATGTGAGTTATCTCCAAGTCACCATGAGTTTCAAGATGTTTCAATGATCCAATGACTTCGATGATTTGGGTTTTTTTATTGTTTTTTGATATGGTTATCCCAATGGCATTGACCAGCTTGTCATGGCCATTTCCGGGACATTAGGGGGACAATGATGATCATTGGTCACACTACTCACGTTGAGTCTTCCAAGACTTGAAAAGCATGTAAAACAACAATAATATCCAACATCAATATATGGAAACCTAGACCTACAGCCTACAGCCTTGAAGATAACCCTGAAGACCGCCCGTGGAATCCATGGATTGAAATTGCTATGGAAAATCACCTCCAAACCCCCATTTCTTTCGGCATTTCTGAGGTAAAACCAGTGAACAGTGTCAAAAACCGATGAGCAAATCACCAACATCATGCTTGGCTAATTAATAGTTCCCAGCTCATTAATTATGACAGCCTCTAATATACGAAGGGTAGTATAACTCCTCACATTTTTGGGCCAAACATCATTTGTCAAATCCATGCCCCTGATCTTTGATGGTTAACAGCCCTGTTTATTGTTGGGTGAGTTCCCATTGAATCCTAAACAGCACCCAACAATAATTCCTGGATGATATCCCCTAGAATCGATAGCTCAATTCTGTTTGGATCCCATTGAAGTTCCATAAAAAAACTGGGTGAAATCCAAATGTTTGATTTATTTTGATGCTTGATCCCCTTGTAATTTGTGATTCCATTCCCGTTTTCATCCGGAAGAACCACCGGGGTTTTTGAAACCGCTCAACTGCTCGGCCTGTCTGAAGACCAAATGCACTTCCGTGCCGTAGCCTGGGATAAACAACTACCATGGCTGGGGATGGTTGAAACCCGACCCATAAAAATATGGTGAAGACTTGGGGATGGTTTGTTGAATTGAGCCACATTACCAGAGGTTGTTGGATAAATTCTTCTATAATATCATTGTGATGTGGTGAGGTTGATTGTGGATTTCTGATGGTATTGATGGTGATTTATGGCAATTTATGGCAACCCCTTGCCCCGATAAATTGTTAATCAAACACCCACACCCTTTTTAAATGCATTGGATCTGATCATGAATTGGGGAGCCACGGGGTATCTATATAACCGTGTGTGAAAACTCATTTAAAAAACTCAAGGTCACGTCAAAGACTGGTTGGTGGTTGGTCTGGCTGAACTTTCCCAAACAAAATTATCGATTGGCATTCTCAAAAAGGTAGGCTGAACACAAAAGAAAAAAGACGCAGCAACCAGCATAGAGTGATGCACCACGTTTTTTCCTATGCAATGTCCTACCCAGTCTGAACGGTTGGGACTGCGGTAATTCCTGAGATTCATACCATGGAAGAAGCCAGCAAATTCTACGGCCTTGGGAAGCGTTGTGATTTCGGAGCCTTGGAAGCTAGAGTATATAAGATTTGATGCTGGGTGCAGCATACCTTCTTTTTGAATATGATATTGTATAATATATTCTTCATATACAGTATAAAAAAAAACACTTTTTACTGCTTGTTTTTTAAACATCTTTTAACGAATGGCTTAACTGTTGGGCTTGCACACTGATGTGACAAAGAAACGTGTCACGGTCACCCAAGCAGAAGCAGCAACCAAGACAGTCAAGCACTCCGTAGCAAATGGATAGGTGCATCTGCTACAACTAATAGATTCACTAACATGAGCCAGTAATTTGACATATGGACAATGGTCCATTTATTGGAAGGGATGATGCTCCATAGCTGTGTCACAGTGACCAACTATAAGCAAAGAGCTGTAAATGCTCCTGGATACACATCTCCCTACGTAGGGGGTGCATTTCTATTAATAAGTGGATATAACCATCATCATAGTTATAAGGGGCCCATATCCCAACTTGTGAAGGCAAAAGTGTCGTGGTTAAAACTATTCCTAACGCCACCTTCACCCCCAATAGCCGGGCAACCATCATAAACCCCAGTAAATCCCATTAAATTAACTCATATTGAAAGCTCTTAAATCCAATTAAACCATAATAATAAACCCCCTAAGAATCCCAAAAATTAAACCATAATAGTAAACCCCCTAAGAATCCCTAAATTATATCCCCATTCCCCGCCATTGTTCCCCATTATATCCTGTTAAATCCCATGAAAAATCACCATTGCAAGTGATGGTCTCCCAGCATCCGAGCTGAGCATTCCAAACGATGTAACCTCCACCGACCACGACCAGTTTCTCTGGCCTTGCTTCACCATGCGTCAGCGAGGTGAAACGTGGTAAAACAATGGCCGAAACATGGTGAAACCCAATTTTCAAATGACAAACACACTGAAACTGATTGAGACTGGTGATTTCATGTGATTTCAACATGTTTTCAACCCATAATGCGAAAGTCATGAGGGATCATCCTTCGATTTCTATGGTTTTTTTTCAACAAAAAACAACACTCGAAACCACCAACCAACGAATAAATTGTATTGTTTCTAGAGGCTCAAGAGCCCATGGCCTTCAGTGTCACTACGCATGTCGGGCAACTTGGCCCAAACTCCCAAACCCATTGATTTATCCTTCGCTTCCCATCTGCCTTCCAAACATGGCTAATGTCTTAGATACTACTCTATTATAGTAGCACAAAAATTGAAAAACTAAACATTGCGAAACAATAAGAAATATAGTTACTATAGTTCCCATCGATTTCCCATCAAAAATGATGCGTCCCGTTGGTAGCTTAACTTTTACTCTTCATCGACTCATAAGATACGGACTTCTTTGGCAATGCCAAGGCTTCGTCGCTGGTCAGCACCTAAACAGGGCTGGTTTGATCCACAACTATGTTACTGGTTGGTGGTATACCTACCCCTCTGAACAATATGAAAGTCAGTTGGGAGTTGGGATGATGAAATTCCCAACTGAATGGGCAAATAAAATTCATGTTCCAAACCACCAACCAGGTTATATAGTTGAACGCCCAACATTGCCGCACTTCTATGCAATTATCCCATACATGGATGGATTTTTCGTCGGAAAATGTGGTGTTCAATCCCCCAACAATGACCCATATTTTCAGGCCACCTCTACATCTGGAAGAGATCTAAACCTGGTCGGCCCGGTTGGTGGTCATCAAAAATGGCTAGCTGAGAAATTCATAGAAATCCCCGAACTAGCAATGGAGGCTTAGTCACTAAGTCTGTTTAGTTCGCTGGGAACTCATCTGTAAATGGAATATTTTTTCGCCACGGTCCATTACCCTGAGGGTAGATTTAAACCACGGAGCCAATTTGTTGCTAAATGATGTGAAAAAAATGCCAAACGTTGCACCACATAAGGCAGGTGGGGCATTTGTGGCATTGTTTCATACTGTTTTCATCTGTACTCCAGAGATGACTCTAATGTGGATACAGTAAACTGTCATAAACTGATAATACGCACAGCATTTGATGATTTAAAAAAAATGATATCATGTAATATCTCTCTCCATCGCTATCAAAGTCAGCCTGCCCTAGCATAAGAGAAGAATCTTAGTATTTATCCCAAAAAGACAGGGTCGACTAGCAGAATGACATGCAAACGTATGTTAGTGTAAAGGTATGTCAACGAATGCGTTTGTTTTTAATATCACTCAGTTGCATTGGGTTTACTCTCTGGTAAACTAACATAGCTATTGAAAATGACCATAGTAAATTGTGAGTTTTCCCCTTAAAAATGGGTGGATCTTTCCATAGTTTTTTTGTATGTTTACCAGAGGGTAAACCTCCATTTTCCCATGGTTTTCCTATGGTTTTCCTTGGTTTTCCTATGGTTCCCCGGTGGGGACGGTTCAGCTGGTCCGGTTCCGCCGGGTGTCGGCACACCATCCAGGTCGCAGCCCGGGATGGGCCTGGGTTCGCGAAAGGCGAGGGCGAGAAAGGGCATGTCACATGAGTTCAGCCATGTTCTATGGCAATTCATATGGATATATGATATATATATATATGTATGTATGTATGTATGTATGTATGTATGTATGTATGTATATATGGATCATATATGGGTCATATATGGAATCACCATTCTTAATCATCAACCATCATAAATCCACACTACCCTCTGGTAAACGTTTACATAACTATGGAAATTCCACCCATTTTTCATGGGACAACTCACTATTTCTATGGCCATGTTCAATAGCTTTTTGTATGTTTACCAGAGGGTATATATATACATATACATGTATATAGTGCCGGACATACACTTAGAAGATATTATTTTTCCAAATTTTCAGATCTCACACTTAGAAATGCTTGTTTAAGGAAAACGCCCCACACTTAGAAATAACACTTAGAAATTCAGAGCAACATGGCCCCCTGATGTTCTAAGTGTGGGGTCTTTGCAAGCTACTGATTATTTTTCAACATTATCATACATTATCTCATCATAAACTCTGCGCGCATGTTTCTTTTTTCGATCAAATCGCTTGCAATTCACGATGCTTTGGCTGCCTTTGCTTGGCAATGTTTGCAAATTTCGTATGTACACATC